TGGAAAATTCAAAGGAAAAAGTAATCCAATAAGCATGAATGCTCAATTCCTGCTCCCTGTATGCTGGGGTATTGTTGATTTGAGAACAATGCTCTTTGCAATTCATAAGAGAGCTTCTGCTATTAGTATGGAGAGAGAAGCCTTTTACGGCACAGTTTTTTTAAAAAAAATCTCAGGTTACACTTGGTATACGAAGACGCATACCTGTTTTAAATATTAAACGGCTTACATTGTAATCACCTGTTCATTCCAGGCTGATCTGGCTGATGGAACTACTGATCAGGCTGATGGAACTATCCATAAATACAGGAACAATTGAGGGTAGAACTTATTGTTGGCAATCTTTTTTTGGGGTCTGGTGAGTTGAAAATAAAGTAAACCTGTGACCAGACTATGAACATTCAAGTATTTACATATCCTAATCTAGCAGTAAATGAGCTTTAAAAAAAACCCACCCTGATATCAATAGCTGCAGGCACTGTGGAGAAATTCATTCTCAAAGTTCACAGCAGAAGCACTGAAGTTGAACAACTTAATCTCCTGGCAGCTAAGCTTACCCTCCTGGCAGTGACTCACCTGTCTTTCAAGCTTCTAATCCCGCCTTTCGCAAACTTTTTTTCAGTCATGGCACCCCTTAAAAGTATGCAAACGCAGATGGCACTCCAGTCTAAAATGTAAAAAATGTGAATCGTATGGATTGTAAGGGAGGACCCCACAAAAAAACATTGGGTTCCCTCTTCAAATTAGCACCCCCCTCCCCCTTCACATCAAAGGCCCTTCCTTCACATCAGAGTCCCACCTTTCACATCAGAGACCCCCCAATTCATAGCAGAGTCCCCTCCGTTTAACATCAGAGTCCACCACTTTACATCAGGAGCCCCCCTTTCACATCAGAGTAACCCCGAATTCATAGCAAAGTCCCGTCCTTTCACATCAGAGTCCCAACTTCAGATCAGGAGCCCCCCTTCACATCAGAATCCCCACTTCACATCACAGTTCTTCCTTAAAACCAGAGCGTAGCAGCATGGCAGAGGGCGGAAGACAGAACAGGCCTGGATACATGTGGACTTCTGTTATTTTCTGTATGCTATGGAGGGATCCTGGATACTACTTCCTCTGGATTAGTATCATGCATTTTCATGGTGATGGCAGCTGGCCTGACTGCAACATGGAAGCACATGATGCTGTTTAAAAATGGCACCCCATTTAAGACAGGCTGTTCTAATCTCTAATTTAAACTCTGGGTTTGTGGAGCAAGAGAATCTTAGCTGCTGAGCCACTGTTGAGAGGGGGGAGCAGGGGGAGCCGAGCTGCTTCTGAGCTTGCTTCTGCTGTGAACTTTTTGAAGATGAATGCTTAATTGTGCCTGCAGCTACAGAGGTCACAATAGGCTTGTTGTAACACTTATTTACTGCTTAATAGAAAAGTACATACCCTGGTCAGAACTTTGCATTAAGGCCCTGTTCACAAACGCTGGAACGCACTGCGATCGCTCACAAAACTTCCCCCTGTGTTCTGGGACGGGAGGGGGCGTGCATTGAATTCAATGGCACCGCTTCCACACCCCCCACCTCCTGCCCCAGAACGCAGGGGGAAGATCGTGGTGCGTTCCAGCAGCTACCGCTCTGAAACACACTGCTTTCGGTGTGAACAAGCTCTATGGGTGGTTTAAAATAGAAAATGTTTTAGGGCACATAGGTGTTTAATTGAACACCAAATCTGGATATTTTTTTAGGTTGCTTTATTTATTTATTTTCTCTTACAAACATGCCACGGTGTGTTTGCAGTCATGATGCATTTTGAGTTATTTTTTCAACTTTTTCCCAAAAATATGTTTGACATGAGAGGCACCATCCATATTTTGATGGTATTTTAATTAACAGATTTGCAGATTCCCCTTGTAGTTATCTCTATATCAGCCACTCATACATAGCTCGTAAAGTCAGTTAGCTAGTTAACTCGAACTGCCTAAGCAGACTGATAGACATGCAAGACAGATGAAGATTAAAGGCGTCTATACACATAGGAGGGCTGTTGGATGTACAGGCCTTATCCATCCACTCTCCAGCACTACTTTCTGGTAGGTGCACCATAAACAGGATTGCTCAAGCCTATCTCCAGGTAAAACAAAAAAAACAAAAACACACACACACTCCAAGGGTTAACTGCTTGGTAATGTCTAGGGCATGTGTACATGTTCTTTACTTACCTTTTTCCCGCTTCCTTGGCAGTTGGTGCTAACCTCTCTTTCCTCTATTTACATGTAATGCAGGGCTAGGGGTCCTGCATTAAACATTATGGCATCAGTGGGCCTCCGACCACTGGACCAGAGGGGGGAAGGAGATGACAGCTTTTTCTCCATTCAGATTGGCTTCTAACAGGTTACACAGCAGGGAAAGCCTGCCCACTGTGTAACCTGTCATGGACGGAGCGCTGCCTGTTAACTACAGGCAGTGCTGCATCCAGGTTTTGACAGGTAGTTAGGTTACACAACAGCGGGCTTCCCCACTGCTTGTGTAACCTAACTTGGTGAGTCAAGAGCTGTCACAGCCTCTACTCTGTGTTAGAGGCGTGAGCTCTGTGGATGGCTTGGACCAATGGCAAAGCGCCATTGGTCCAAGCTGTCCAATCAAAAAAAAGAAAAAACCCACTGAGGCCATCGATCTCGATGCCTCAGCAGCGACGAGCAAGTGATGCTCCTCCCCACACAACTTGGTTACCGGGATGGGGCTGGGGCTTTGGCTGGATGGGGGTGGAGCTTCGGTGGGATGGGGATGCCTCACCCAGCACAAAGGGCACCGCACGTCACTGAGCTAAACCCAAGAACAACTGTGACAAATTGCCGATGTGGTGGCTACATTTGTTTTCTTTATCAGTCTTTTTTTACATTTATTTTCATCTGGTGATCCTGTCAGTAATATACTTGCTCTACTATGGTGAAGTAATGCTCACTCAGTGTACTGTACCTATGGACAGCAGCAAGCAATGTTGTCGCCTTAAGACAGGAAGTTAGGATTGCAGAACGCTTACCTCTCTCCTCTTCTCCATAACAAAGAGGGCAGGTGTTCTGTAGTCCATAGACAAAACTAGGAACAATGTAACCAATAAGAATCAGCAGAGGCAGAGACAAGTTTATTGCAGGATCGACAAGTGTTTTTTTTGCCCTTACCAAACTTGCCATACTTTTATGGTACAGTACATTTAAAGGAAAAATACCGAGAGAGTGAAATACACTTATCCCCATAATTAGAGCTGAGGTGTGACGCTGCAGCTGTCACATGTCGCCTCTATTGATCTCTGAGTTCCCAATTTTCTCCCTGCAAAGAGTGTGGTGACTGTCAGTCACCGGTCCCCACAGGGATTTCCCCGCCCCTCTTTTTATTCCTCCAGGGCTGACTGGAGGAACAGACAGGGAGGGCACTAGCGGGCACTGCCTCTAGGGAGGGGGCTCTCTAGAGGCAGAGCCAGCTGTCAATCAGGCAGCGGGGTGGATTCCGACAATATTGTCGGGATCTGTCCTGGCTGCAGTGTGGCTCTGTGCTGTCAGCATATAACGGGCAATAGCCCGCTATATGCTGAGTTTTGGGTCACAGGAGGACATTAGTAAATGCTCCTGTGACCCTAAAGAGAACTATTGCCAAAAAAATGGTCCATAGTTCTCTTCTAACAGACCAAAAGGAGGCAAATACAAGAAGTTCATTATTAGGGTTTATATGTAATTTAAAAACAGAAAAATGCAGTCTCAATGGAATCTATCACTGAGGCATAAATAATCTGAATAGGCAACTGAAAGGTAAAGGATTTTATTCACTTTAATAGACATCTTTTATAGATACAATAAATGCATTTCGTACAGATTTTCAGAGGACAATTTCAATGCTTTACTCCTTTCTGAGTCCATTTCATTGCACTTAAAAGTAAAATATGGCATTTTCCATAATCCCAGCAGACTGCATATACCAACCACAGAACAGAACTTCAGCGGATAAATGACAATACACCGTAAAAACTGAGTACTTTACACAGTAAAGATACTTTGCGTCTAGATATGATTCTGAAAACAATTCTAGCCCTAGATCTCTGAAAGTGTTAACAGTAAATCACCAGCACACACAGGATATAGCTTCAATCTTTGTTGTTTACTTTATTAAAACGTTACATTGTGCTATGTACAATTGTATTTTTCTAACAGATTTAGCAGAATTTCTACAGTGATAGAGTGTACTTGATTGTAACCACCAAAGAGCCATATGTGACTGTAGTGGGTTACTTTTTTTATTTAATGTTCCAGCAAGTTGTAATTATGCATTAAAAAGGAACTGGAAAAAAGGAGAGTAGAGGAGAAAGGAGTAGTCACCAGTATTGCCTGTGCTCTCCCTGCAGCTGATCGTTCCCCCATTACTGACTTACGATGTCTTGTTCTTCATTGGAGATGGAGGTAGCCATCTTGGTAGAAGCAGGGCTTTGCTTCCACAAGTCAATGCCTCCAGCAAGGAGAACGGTGAGCATCACAGTGGTGAAGTCACCAAATCTCATGAGTCTAGCAGTCAGAGGCCTTACATCTTACACTGCAGATAAACTGCTATGCAGCTGGATGCACCGGATTGGCTAGGCATCCTGCTATAGCAAAATTCAAGGCAAAAGGTACATTTTTCAGGACGTTCCCTTTACCTGAAAATCTTCACTTTTTGAGTTCAGTTTCACTTTAGGTAAGAGTGTTCTAAGTTTCTCCACAGTCAACAGAAATTACAGTGGTTCTGCAAGTTCTGTTGACACAAATAAAGTTGTACAAATAAAATTTGTATTTTACTGGAGGTTATTAGTTGTACAAATAAAGTTTGTATCTTACTGGAGGTGATTTAGGAACTTGAAAAACATAAATGATAAATGAAGTGATTGTACAAGTGCATGACCATACAGTGCAAACAGCAATTATCTACAGTTATCTTGGGCAACCAATAGGAAATCACCTTTCATCTAGAGTAGTAAAATAAAGTTTATTTCTAAATGGCTGCTGTGTGGTATCACACACTGCTCTATAGTACAAAAAAGCAGCTTAGCAGTTAGGATGAAATCATTGTCTCAGTGCAGACATCATGGAGTAGAGCTGTTAGGGGTACATTTGCGAGACTGACATTCACAGTTTGTGGCTTGTAAGATTTCATGCTCTACTGTGGTCCCATTTGCGCATTGCAGGGGTACTTTCATCGGCTCTGTCTGGGTGGCGGAACAGCAAATGCATTGATCTTCCATGCGGTGTGTCTGTATGGCATAGACGGACTTACTGGTACATTTTCCCTGAAATAAAATAATAACAGTTTTATAACATTGTGAGATCTCATTGATATAACATTGTGATATCTCTATCTGTGATAAAATTTTTGATATCTCCAAAATGCTGGCTATTTATACATACCCTCAGTTAGACCTGGGGAGTGCCAATATGCAGATAACAAATTCAACTAGGTGGGCAACACTTGACCTTCCCCACCTCCTGCAGCTCACCATTGATCAGTGATGATGCTCATTGTGCTCACTGGGCAGTAGTGAGGAATAGGTGCCAGTTCTAGTTCAAGTGCTATTTGCATATTACTGTCTCTGGGTTTTTGGGAAACCCAAAGCAGTCTAACAGATGGCAGAGCAACATTCTAGAGTTCCACTGTCTATAGGGTTGCTTTTAAAGTGCACCTGTGTCCAAAACATGTGTCTTATTTATATATTCCTAACAAGCAGTAAATGCAAGCCCTCACTGACCTTTAATGGAAGCCCTCACTGACCTCTATCATATTGATGAATTTATACCACACTTATCATTTCTAACAATGAAACCTTATTTATATATTCTTAACAAGCAGTAAAAGAGCCTTAACACGACCTCTTACTGACCTCTATAGCTTCTGACAATGTGGAGAAATATTCTCAAATTTAACAACAGAGGTACTAAGGCACCGTGGGGACCAGCACTCTAATGTAAACTCATGTAAACTCACAGCAGGTATTTCTAAGCTGTTAGAAAATCACCAAAACTTGACTTCAGAGTCTCTGTAGTGATCTTTGAGGATGAATTACTTCACAACACCTGCAGTTACAGAGGAGGGCATGGGCATCTTCCATTTGTTGTCAGGGTTTGTAATAAAAGCCAAAAAAAGTTAATTGGAGACTTAAGAACTTCACTTGATTTGGCCAAAAACAGTGTCATCCTATGTTGGTAAACATTTTTAAAACTCCTTAGAGTGCATATTGTGTGCTAAAATTTCTTCTTTCTTCTATTTCTTTGAAATGTTAGGAGGGGCTGTGAGGGGTGATGGGTCTGAGGTGGCTTGCCCATTGTATGTTAATGAAGATTTTCAGATAAATACAATCCTCACATTTCTTTTTGACTGCAAAAGTGAAAATAATGTATTAGTGTCTGTTTTGTATCTTACCTCGCAATAGTGTATATTGAGCTGTCTTTCCGTCACACAGTCATCAACTCGAATAAATTTCAGGACCCCAGTGACCTGCATACATTCTGGTTCCTCACCTAGAATATCACATAAACACTAAGATTAACTTGATCGGTTGTGCAATTTCCTGAAGGAACATAGGTTAAAGTGAACCCTTTAGCCATTATAAACTTTTCAAAACATTTTAATATGCCCAATCAAAATGTGTCTCCATAAAGAATAGAGAATAGTATTCTTTGAATGAGGGAGGTGAAAATGTATACTTACATGTTTCACAGCAAGAGTCTCCAAGTTGTATAATTTTACCCTAAAATAAAGAACAAATGTGTTTTCAAATTATATAAGATACATTCTCTTTCCCTATTGACTCTTGTTGCCCCCTTTTAGGCATAATGACCATTCCAACCACGGCACACCTCAGGCTCTCTTTGCTTTCCGGTCATGTCAGCAGGACCCTGACTACAAGTTTTAAGGCTAGCTTTGCTAGCCTGTATTTGTGGGAGGAGTCCTGCACAATTTAACTCCCCCTTGCCCTCTCTTCACCTGTGGGCCAGTCTTTTCGATAGCCCACCCTCCCTACCCCTCTCTTTCTCCTTTCTTTCCAGTTGAGTATGCCCCCTTTTCGGCATACTGACCATTCCAACCACGGCACACCTCAGGTCGGCTTTTGCCTCCCAGGCCTCTAGGCTGTCCTTGCTTTCAAATCCAACACTTTGGGAAGTTACCATCTCCTGGAACAGGTGCCCTAGTGGGAGAATTTCCCCTCATCTTCTACTGACATGACTACTTAAAAAATTGTATTTCCTCTCACTTTCTGTCCTGGTGATAGTGGCCACTAAGAAAAAAGAGAGGGGGGAATCATCCTCACAGGGACACAGATAGGGATAACTTAACCATTTGCCTTAACCTAAACCTTAAAACTAACCCTACTCCTCAGGGCTATATATGCTATCCCAGTATTATTAGCAGTAAAACTACAGATTTTTTTTAAATACACCATGATATTCCACGCCTTTAGAGAAAGGGTCCCAGAATAAGCAAGGAACTACTACAACACGATTCACAGTTTATCTCTGTCTTCAAAAAGTGAACTCAGTATAGTTATCCTATTAATGATTTATACCACACTTACACCATCTGCCAAACATTTCTGACGATCTAACGGTGGGCATGATGTCACTACTTTTTCCAGAGTCAACTCTCCTTGTTCATTGGCTTTGCAGGTGTACATGTCACAGCCATCCCGTATGGATTTGTTGGGCTGGAAAGAAAATATCAATGAACAAAACAGATATACAAATGTCATAAACTTTCATGACATTAACTCATGTTCTGCGTATGTTGTTCAGGGGTACCAACATCCCATAATTTCATAACAATATATTGTTCAACATTTTAGTACTTCATAAGTATATTGTTGGTATATGTTGAACTAAAATGTCAGATCACAAGTAATAGTTTAAAAGAAAAAAGCAATATTTTTGTTATTCGTCTAGTGGAGAGAGCTGGGTAATTTTGTTTTATACACCAGCACATGTGGTAAGGGTGGCTATCATCTTCGAAGGCTATTTTACATCTGCAAACTGGCATATCCACAGGGCTGACTCATTTGAAGTCGTTGTTAAGAAGACAGTGCTGGAGGGACTGCCCTTGCTGACGTTCTGGACATGCAACTTGCTTGGCTTCTCTGTCTTCAAAACTTTGAATTATGGACACAAAGCAAGCATGCAGCAAAACCACTTATCCTACATACTTTTTCCACATTCTCCAGGGCAGAAGACCTTTTCTCTGCTGCAGTAAAGTAACAGTTACAGGTCTTTTGTCCCTCCTCCAGCCTGTGACTGGACAGTGAATGGAGAAGCCTCAGATTGATGAGCTTATCTCTCTACCACTCTGTTTTCCCCCACTGTCAGAATGTTCCTTGTTAGAAACCACTAATTGACTCTTTGTGGTGTTTCTGGATTTATTTATGTATCTATGAATGCAGATTTTCTTAACGTGTCTTTTAAATTTGTCTGGTGTGCCCCTAGTATCAAGGCTATGCATACTTTTTAAATTTAACATGCTCACTGGATGCTCTCTCCATCTTTGGATGTACAAAATGTTCCCCAACTCCCCTTTTTTCTAATCAAAGTTTAAATGATGCAGAATTACCTCTATATCTACTGGATTTCCATTCTGCAGCATAATGGTGCAGGACATCAAAATACATTTGCCACAACAGGCACCTTTAACCTTTTGCAAAACAGTATTCTGTAATAAAAAAAAGGCAACAAGTTTAACATAGTGTAATGTTCTGAGTAAATATTACATAGCTGATTACAAGTTGAGTCTTATAGCTACAACATATTTTCCCATCCCCAACCTCCACCAGCACTAACATGTTTGTTTTTTCAATTTCTTTCCCTCCCAAAGCAGTACCCACTTTTTCCATGCTCCAGAGCTACACTCTGCATCCAACTCCAATCCTGGGTTCCACTTCTCTTCCAGGTTGATTGGCGCCCAGTGTCAGAATCTGTGAATGGAGAAAGTCCCAGCAGCCACTGCGGCGGAGGGGCTTGTATTTCCCAATGGAATACAAGTGCAGTGACGTCACTGCACTTGTCCATTCATATTTCCTCACCTCCCTGTTACTCATGTCCATACCGAGGTAGGTACGTGAATGGCCGGAAGAGTTTACAGGAGACAGAGCATTGAACCCGTGATCCACTGATTAAAATGACTAAATGTACATTTTTTTTCTTTTAGGAAATAGTGTGCATTTATTTTAATTTTTTTTAAACGGTGGAATTTCTTCTAATTGGCATACTTGTTCCAGGCCAGTGTCTTAGGAAGTACTGAAGCCACTAAATCATTGAGGCAGCCAGTAAAACTAGCATTTTTAAAAGAAGAGCCACGAGTGGCAGACTCCATACTTCCTCACTTCAGGTATTCTTTAGGGGTCAGGGATAGGGTGTAATCAAGGCTATATTGATAAGTGCACAATAAACCTTGGGGATAGAAAAATGTATTGTTCTCCATGTGATAACCTGGGTTGTTTTTTATTTTTTTATTGTCTGTAAGGCTGGGTTCACACCTAGGCTTATCGAATATGCACGTTTGTGACGCGCGTTTTTACCGCGATTCGCTGTAAAAAACCGCACGACAAACGCGCGTTTACGAGGGCTACCTGGCTGTATCCTAATGGAAACGCGCGACAAAAACGCCCCAAAGAAGCTCCTGTACTTCTTTGGGCGTAGGGCGTTTTGTAGTTACGGCCTGTAATACGCCCAGGTGTGAACCATACCCATAGGAAATAATGGGATTTCGGTGATTGAGCGTTTTGCAGAGCGTTCGAACGTGCTACAAAACGCCCAGGTGTGAACCAGGCCTAAATTTCATACAGTAAGCACCAAGCAGCTTAGCAGATCTTGGCAGCAGCTGCATCCAACAGTATTATTCTAGCAACTCCATTCTGCTACAAAGCAAAAAAATATTTCACTTGTTTCTGAAAAGTCTTTTGCATACAGACTGTCTGTGTTGCCTTATATAAACCACTCTCATTCAAGACAGAAAAATGACAGATTCAAAAAATCAAAGCCTGATCCTATTTAAGGCACTTCAGAGAATAATGAGTAAGTATTATGTCATTAATTATATATTACATATTCCTTACCCGTGGACAGGGATCACATGTGGTCCGTTGGCAGGATAGTTCATAACTTGGAAATGGACCTTTAGAAATGCGACATTCACAAGAGGAGCATTCGTCTATCATTAATGTCTTCCCAGGCTAGAAAATAAAATATAAAATGTTGAAGCATGGATGGCACACCGATTTTCAGCACCAGTAATTTGTACACTTATATTTTAATTACCAGTATGTACGGACACAATGCATGCGTCATTACACTTGCACATATCTGAAACACTAATTTATTTAAAGGTAAACTCCATTTTTGCTAAAGAGAATATATAGTATTTTTAATGTTATTGCACAGATGTGTAACTGAGATGAACTTTGTTGTAAAATATGGAAGCAGCCATTTTTTGCTCAGTACAGCTTTGCATTGCTACACAGTGCTTTACAGCTCCTGACTTACTAAAAAATAGGCACTTCCTGTGTGACTGTAATTTTAATTCAGCAGTTAAAGTGTATATGTAAACCCTAACCATTGACTTTTCTTATTTGCTACCATTTTGGTCTGTTAAATATACCATTAAAAGTGTTTTGTAATATCTGTTCAATATGTGCAAATAAAAAAAAATTTGATAATGTTAGAAATCCACTGCTGTCCTGTGCACCAGTAAAATGTGTTACTGTTAGTTTGTCTTTCCTTTGTCCAACCAGCAGTAAAGTGCTCTGATAAACATTTTACTTGGAATTATTGGCATTTTGAAGTGGGTTCTCTAAAGTCTGGGTGTCCTATACTAACAGAGAGACACTCACAGGACGAGATTTACAGAACACACTTCATTCTACATAATCACTTGTACAGTTATCACCACCTGAGAAAGCCGCTCTCCAGGGAATGAGACTGCCTTCCCTAGCAACCTAACATCTGCTGCCAATCTTAATTACTCCCTTGATCTGTGTTATTAAGTGCCACATCTTATTTTTAGTTGAAAAATAATTAATTTCCAAACAACATGGGCAAGTAGTTGCGTGGTGTGTTTTTTACAAGGTTTCGGCAGGTAAGGAACTCCCGTATTTGCAGGTAAACTGTCCATGTAGAAAATCCTATTATCATTTTAGAAACCCTATTACCATGCTGTGAAAAACAACTTACTCTCCAGGTGTTGTCATGTCTCTAAGTGCTATGTGTTTATGTAGAAATCCTAATCATAGCCACTGTGTATGGCCATTTCTCCTCTGTGTCACGCCCAGCAGGTCTATACCAGGAAAAAAGCTCTTATGATGCAACAGATGTTTCTGCTGTTCTTTGTAAGCTGTGTTGTCAGTTGATGTTTCTTCAATGCAAACCTTTATTCCCCTGCAGCTGAAGGACACCACCTTTTAAATGTTATAATGGGAACCTCAGGGTACTTGTACATAATGTTGGCTATCTTCTAGAGATCCATGGGAGCCTGCAAACCTTGAGCAATTTAATATGCAAATATTGAGTTATTCCAGAAACCTGATGCTGGACCTGTCTCATTCTACCTCCTGAACTGTGCTACTGTACTATCAAAGTGATAGATGGTTTCAATAGTCCAATTTGAAGCATCAAAGAAGGTGCAGCCAATCACCTAGTTGAAGTCAGTATTTGCATGTTAGAGCTTCCGGGGTTCCAGGTCTCCTAAGGTGCTATAGAAGATAATTTACTAATGTGGAGCCACCTAGAAGTACCTGTTATAAAATCTAAGTTTACAAAGGTGACAAAAAAGTGCAACTGAAACTCTAGTTTTGAATAGAGTGGAGGGGGATTAGAACACCTGTCAGGTTGTCTACTGCTGTCTGTGTCCCCGTTAGGGAGATTCACCCTCTCTATTTGTCATGGTGACCATTATCACTGAAAGTTAAATCCCATTTTGTGTTGTCATCAGAACAGGAATAGATGGGAAATCTTCCAAGGGGGACACTAGTTCTGGTGACCCTGCTGACCACTAGGGATTTTCCTCTGTTGTTGAGCAACCTCTGTGCAGGGTGCTGATTGCTTCCTTTTCTGTGAAAGAAATATTAATGATATTTTCCAAAGGTTAGTGATTCATTCCTTCAAGAAATAGATGATCTTTGCCTTAATTGTTTCTTACCCCAATAATAGTTCCATTGAGAAGACAGCCAGGGATGGGATCTGAAAGACAAGGATTGTTATTTTTTAAAAAAAATTTGCTCATAGTTTTGCTCAGTAAAAACCAAGAACAGTAATGCAGTACTCTAAAACCCAAAGCTAATTGCACCCCTGAGCTAAGACAAATGAAGCTTGCATATCATGTCTGCACCCATAGTTGCTGAGCAAAACTGACAGGTCCTAGGGATGTGTGGAGCTATAGAAACATAGTTAAAACAGTGTAATTTAGTAATAATGGACATGGTAAGAAAAAAGCAAGATATTTTGTTTTAGTATTATTATGCAAACAAAATGTTTTCTTCCATGTAGGAATTAAAGTAGTGTACACCTCACCAAAACTACAATTTTTTCTCCGATCTCTAAGTGTAATCAATGGGGCTGGAATGTCAGTTTGACAGCTTGGTCCTGCACAGTGCTGGAGACAGCTGGGGGGATGCAGAGGCAGGGAAGGCTTTCACCTCAGCTGGGCCCTCCACCAAGGTGGGAGCCTCTTCTGCCACAACCACTGCCTGGCCTTCAGTAATGTGATTAGGAGACATCTGTCAGAAACCTGCTCAACCATTCAACCAAGAAGATCAGCACATCCCTGCAAACACATGCATATTCTTGCTTGGCAAACTACTGTTGTGGACAGATTACGCTGATCATGCACTTCTGGGATCCACGTGGCCACATTTGCATTAGAAAGATGAGCTGAATATTGTCTCTGTATATGCTTAGCTCCTCCATTCATAGGACATTGGGAAAACAACGGGCATTGATGTGCCTTAGTCCTTGGTGGTACCATTAGTTCCTAAGGTTGCTTTTCACAAGGGCTTAAAATATTTCTTATTATGAGAGCTGAACTCCTGGCAAACAGCTCAATACACAAATCAAATACAGAAATGGAAGTTGTTTTACCTGCCAAAGGATTTGTTTGTATGTTCATCTAGTCCTGATAGTTACACTGCTTTGCCACACAGCACAGCTATGTCTGGCAAGGCAGGACACCTGATTTTCCTAAGTAACCCTTACAGGCCTCGTCTCTCCCTGAGCCAGTGCATGCTCTCTCCTCCTATCAGCCTATGTTCCTTGTTAGCACATGAGCACCATAGTACAAATGACTGGCTCCTTGTGCTGCTTCAATCTCTCCCAGTGAGAGCTCTGCTGTACTGCAAGATACTGATACTCAGTTAACTTCAGGTACATACACTACTTGAATGAAAAAAAAAAATACATGATGACTACACACCTGCATTAATATGTGTCTTTTTTATTTGCCTGGAGTTCAGCTTTTAATCCCTTAGACTTGGGGTATAATACAGGGTCAGATTCTCATATGACCACATCTAAATTAGTCTTGTGCATATAATATGTCCATCAAATTTGTATCTTTTTATTTACATGTAAATTACTTATTAATTCCCCCAAATCCTAAAGTTGGCCATGCACTGTAATATTTTCTTTGTTCAACTTACAGGGCTGATCGAAGAAAATATAACAGATTCCTCCATCAAGTGTTGAACACTGCAATGTATTCTGACAGCAGCTGGCTCCTTCGATCTGCTGATTGAGGGATGCCGGCCAAAAAGGTGCTGACAGTGGCACTCACTGTGCGAAGTTCAGCCGATTCATCAAGAACCAGCCAAAATTTGCATAGTGTATGGCCAGCTTATGACATTATGTACAGATATTGCACTCTTGCCTTGATGATGTCACCATTACTAAATAATATATTTATTTCATGTGCTGGCTTTCAGATCAACTGCCTTGCAGGGGGTGAGTAGACTGAGCCTGATATGTTACCAATCATTGTATTAAAAAGACTTCCTGCTAAGTGCCAACTGAAAAATCATAACTTTTCTTTTTTCAGCAAATGAGTGGTCTGTAAATGCCCACAGACCAGACAAGGATCAATAGAAGTGACTTAGATTTAGAACACATCACCCTCTCAGACAGGGGCAAAGCCAGATTCAGATCCATAGCTATAAGTAGCATGGTTTACTGGTGCATAGATCTTCTGCTACCAACATAATAATTACAACATACAGTAATAGTCCTTTCATTTTTGTATCATTCAGGAACAAAATGGCCAAAGATCCCATGGAACAAATTATTGCCTCTACTTTAAAATAACTGTCAAGAACACAATAAGAAAAAAACATCATCTCACCACAACGGCAAATGGGACAGCACTCTGCTCCATGAATGCACTTCAGTTCATAACCTGTGGGACAGTTCTTGGTCTCTATGTCAGTGCAGGACACATTCTTCTGAAGAGTAAACACTTCTCCGTTTACTTTGGCACATTCATTAATGATGCATGGGTCAACTGGAGACATCCACTGCGCACCAACCTGCAGCAAGCCGAAATGACCAAAGCAGAGATGAAACCTACATTATGCTATTTCGCTCGGCTTGTGATATACAACTTCTCTGTCTAGAGGCACTGTTGTGTTAAATGTACATAAAAACAATTCTCATTTGTTGTAGTGCTATAAAGTTCAGGTTACTAGTATATATGTCAGTAGCAGAGTTTTGTAACGTACTAACCATCTATTAGTGCAGAATGTTTGGCGTTTTTAGTGATATCCTTTGTTGGCCAACTTAAAGTGTATCTACAACCAAAACTGTTCGTGATTAAGTAGGGGAAGGGTTAAACACCCTGTCAGGTTCCTTTTGTTGTCTGTGTCACTGCTGGGGAGATTCAACCCTCTATTTGTCCTGGTGACTATTTTTTCCTGGGGCTAAAAGTGAGGCAGAATCCACAATTTTGAGTTGACATCAGAATAGGAATGGAGGAGAAACCGTCCAATGGAGACAGCTGTTCCAGTGACAACTGTCTAAGAGGGGATTGCCCTCCCTTCCAGTTGCGTTTTCAGGGAAGGAAGTGAAATTGCACCAATGGGACACCAATGGGACCTGATAGGGTTTGAACAGTCCAGCCAAAGAGAAAATTGGCAGTAGATATACTTTAAGTTATTAAAGGTGGATGTTTTTTTAAACAACATGTTAACTTTTATCATCAAGCATTATATAATTCTTTATATTGGCTGACGAAGAAATCTGACATGTTGTTTTGAAAGTTTTAAAATCATGCACACTCTATGTACGCAAATTATGTTTTATGCAAAGAAGGTCCTGGCATTCCTGGATTGAGATGTTCCAGCGCAGGTACTGCTCTCTGTATGGCAAGAAACATCTTTTAGAAATGTGTATTGTGCCTAAGCAGTACCCTGAAAAATGTACCAGTTGTCTTTAGTTACTCCAGTGTGCTTTCTGGTATGTGAGGGTGCCCAGACACTCCCGTGCCTACAGCCTCATAGTTGTAAATCTACAGTGTGAGATTTAAGGCACTGCTGCCTCTGACTTCTAGTTTCAGATTTAGAATGAGATTTGCAAAAGCCTGAGCCTCTACCAAGATGGTTGCCTCCACCCAGAGACAGAGTGCAGAACAAGGCATGGTAAATCCGTAATGGGAAGAGAGGGAAACCACAGGAAATACTGGTGAACTGTCCTTTGTCTTTTTCGGGCACAACTTTCAGAGTTTAGTTCCTCTGTACAAATTAAAAATAAATGTACTTACACTATACCATTGGCTTGCACTCTCAGATTCATCAAAATCTCCTTTATATCCTTTAAAGTGGGACATCTCTTGTTCACACACCATCCGCTTGCATGTCCCACAACACTCGTTTTCCCTGGTTATATATTTGAAACCCTAAAAAGAGATTTTATAAGTTATAAGCCTATAAGTTAAAAAAAGATCTGTTTTCTGATTGAATATTTTTGACAAATTATATTTTTATGCAAAATTGCTGTTTCATATTCAATTCAAGAATATTTCAGAGGAGCTGGGAAGAGTCTTGTGCTATCCTTTATTCCAATCACTGCCTGCATAGTGCACACATTTTGGGGAAACTACCCCTAGCTACAATAAGATCAGAATTCTGAGTTGTTTTTGCCACTCCTTTATTGTCATCACTTCCAAGTCCTGATGAAGGGGGTTCTGTCTATCCCCTAAACATGTTGGCTGTTTGGTCAACAAGATAATTAAACTTTTTTATGAATCTGATAACTCTTCTGGTCTGGTGCTCTTCTGTTATCTGTTCCTTTTCATATTCAATGACAGAGACAAGCACTACACGGTATTACAGTATATCCCTTACATGTACTGTTTTGGTGTTGTTTAGTAGTTTTTATTCTCTAACTTCTTGTCTGCTTCATAGGTTAGAGTTATCAAGCTGCAAAGTGGCTTTTTAACAAATATTATTGTATGTGATTTTTAACAGGCTTTAAAGTGTATTTCCACTTTTGCAGCCAAATTAGGACAACATCTATTTTATATTTCTTACCATTCATGTAGTATAAGCTAAAAAAAATAAAAAAAATGCTTCTTGCAGTTTAAACTTCTTTTACTTGGGTTGGGGTTTCTTGGCTTTTGAAAGTGACATTAAAGTCAACCCCCCCCCCCCCTTCCCCCATGCTGCTTTAAAGACTTACCTTAAGTGATGACTCTTGATCCAAACATCTCCTTTCCAGTCGTTTTCAGCAGTCCCTCCAGCGTCGGTGCCAGTCTCTGGTCCAGCGCAGACTGCTGTCTCTTCCTGTCCCACTGAGTCTGTCCAGTGTGCACGCTCACGGCTATGTGCATTGACTTTCACTGTAGCTCTTCTCCTCTCCCCACCAGTGATCTCCACATCCTCCTGCATTGCCGCTCGAGAAGCTGGATTCTACAGCTGGGAGTGGCCCTTCTCTAGCCACTAGTGGCCCTGTGACCAGGAGTTGAATGTAATCTAGGACAGTGTGAGCACTAACAATCACCTATCTGTGGGACCTAATATGTTAAGGATCAACCAAACTGAGAAGGACTTGAGTCCGTGAGGGCTGAATGAGAAAATAACTCTTTATTTCCCTCGACTCTTGAAAAACTATTTTCCTCCTGCCAGATTATTGTATTCTGGGTGTCCCGCTGCAGCCACAGTTCGGCTCCTAAAATTGTCAGATCGAAAAATGTCGGGCAGGAGAATGCCGAATGGGTAACTAAAAGTGTAACCGACAGAGTGAATTTTAGCCAGTTTTTGTTGAAATTGACTCGATGTGTGGCCAGCTTTTGTGTGTTACCTCTTCTTTCAGAGGGACAACTCCCAGGATGTATCACTGACTACTACTAAGTTGACAGTATTCAACAGTGTACAGTGTATTCAACAGTGAATGGTAGTAAAACCAAATTTCTGTGTTATTAAAAAAAATTAATAAATTAATATAAAAAAGAAATATAGAAATAAATTGTCTTCCTAATCTGTTTGTGCTGATGTACTGTATGTAATAAAATTATCAAGGACAGAAAGCATCTGTTAAAAAATGCACTTTGATTTTTCACACTACAAATGTGTTTACTTCATTCTGTATTCCACTCTATATTTCTGCCATGATGAAGTCTATTCATTTTCAACCGTTTGCCTTAAAAGATAACATTTAAAAAAAAGGAGCTGTAGGTGCAAATTCACCTTCAGTTTGCGGCTCTCTCATGCAGTACTCTTCTTCTGATTTGAATCATGGACAGCATCATTCAACTCAGTTCCTCAGAGCCTAGGTAGTCATGGACTCTCCTTCAGCCTGTGACTGGACAGGGAAGGAGAAGCAGCCGGGTGATGAACTTGTCTCTCTGTCACTCTTCTTTCTCCTCCTATCAGCATGCTCTTTGTCAGCACATGAACTAACAGGTTATTTGTGCTTCTTTTTTTTCTCCTTGTCTAAACTCTAATGTACAGGGACTGCAAGAGGATGGGGCAAAGTCAAATTCAGGTATTTACACTGCTTGCATTAATTAAAAAAAAAAAGATTGATGTAATTAATTAAATATTAATGATTTAAAAATGGCACTCCTTTTTATTTAGATAAGCTTTAAATAAGTCAGTTGTATAGTTTTTCTTAAAAAAAATAATAATGAGATTATTTATAGCTTTCCACTGCATTTTGGAATATGTGAACATCTAATCATCAGCAACAACGTACAAATAGAACTTCAATGCTAGCAGTCCAGCCAAACAAAGGACCAATGAGGCGGAAGTAAACAGCGGTATGTATTAAGAGATTCTAAACACAAATACACTTTGGGAACATGATACCATTTTTCCTTAAATCTGCAATTTATTTATTTTTTTATTCCCATCTTGCTTGTTTGGTCCCTTGTCTGCTGATTGCTTTTGTTGCCCTAATGGAACACAAACAGAAGTGAGGTTTTTGCAGGGATCCAGGTGCTTGTCAAGCGGCTGGAGTGTAATTAAGCTGAAGGTTAGGTTGTGATAATACCGAAACCCCTGAGTCATCCTTTACACATACAGTATTCAGGTGCACTGTACACCTGAATAAGAACAGCTGCACAATCCCTTCTTACATAAAAGTTAACCCCTCTTTCTTCTTTTGTGCCACAAATTAAAGTAAAACTTTCATAAACCACACAACCAAGTGGTTGGCCTCCATTTATGCCATTTTTACAAAACTCTGAAATTCTTTATTCGATCGTGCTGTCTCCATCTCTCAAATTCAAACAAAAGCTTCATTTGTTTCTTTTAGTGGCACCATGTGCCTCATTTTCCCTACTCTTGAAACCAAGAAAACCCCCGAGAAAACCCTCAAGTATGAAATCATGGATACGTGATCTCTGCCACCTTATAGTGGACCTAAATTCAAAAAAGTAAAGCTTTGCTATGTTAAAGGGGACATTTTGAAAGAGATCTGAGAATGAGACCTAAGGATACCCCTCACGGGAGAAGATATATGAAAGGCTTTTATATTAAGGAAAAATAGACGTGTCCAGCATATTAGACTTGTGCGCCGTCAAAAAATTTGTTCTGTTTCGTTTCGTTTCGGAATATCCGTTATTTCGTAATTCGTAACTGAACTCAATTCGGATTCGGATTCCTACGAAATACGAATTTGTCTGGGGGAAAAAAAGCTACAAAATGCTAGCCAGATGGTATTGACCCCCTACTGTATTCCATTAAATATTATCTATTTAATCATCTCAATGCTGGCACTGTGAGCTCGAGCAAGGCAGGATGCACCACACATGGTGGAGCTGCCCAAGGCTTCAGAAGTTTTGGGGCCGTATATACTCAAAAACTAAATACATAGACGAGATAAAATTTCTGGTCGCTGCAAGTGTCCACCACTACTACTACTCTCAAATGTCCCTTGCCCTATCTCCCAAATATGAAAAGAGCTTAATTTGCTTTTTTTTGTTGCAGCTCGTGCCTTAATTTTCATACTCTGGAACCCAAGACAACCCCTCAATATTAATTCATGGATACATGAACTCTGCCTCCTTATAGTAGACCCAAACTCAAAAAGTGAAGTTTTGCTATGTTTTAAGGAACATTTTAAAATGTTAACTAATGCCTAAGCAGTGCTCTGTAAGAGGTGCATTTTGTCTTAAACTTCTTCTTGCAAAATAGCATTGTACTTCCTAGTATGTGAGGGTGCCTAGGTATTCCCGCTGTGTGGACTCATAGCTGTATATCTGCAGTGTGAGATCTAAGACATAGCTGCCTTGACTGTTGGTCTTAACCGGATTTGGAGTCCTACCTGTTCCAGTAACAAATGCCTAACATGGTAATTCTCCTTACTTTGGAGAAACACAACAGGAAGTAAAAGGATATCTTTCCAATGTGAGGAAAATCCTGTTAGGCAGTTGTCATGGAAACAAGTGCCTCCATTTGAAGATTTACCCAATATTCCTGGTTTGGTAGCAACTATCCCATCACTTTTGTTTCGGGTGACATCGGCAATCTTAAAATCCTATACCAGGAAAAGGAGCTCTACAATCTTATTGGTGCTTTGGGAAATACCAGTATTTCCTTTCTTCCTGTCCTCTGTGGTTTTACAGTGTAAAATGCTCTCTGCTACTCAGTGGAATAATTAACAAAGTGTAAATTGCACTTCTTTAATATTTCATGTTCAAACACAAATCTCAATGGAGCTCTTTACTTATGCTGAGGCATAATTGTGCATATATTATAACATGTAAGTATTAATCAATAACAATATCCTTCCATCAGTTTAATATCGTGTACAAAGGAGCACAACACTTCATACAATGTGTGTCGGGTGTGAAAATTCTACTGGTAACTTACAGTATGAGAAGAAATGGTATTTCCCTGTTCTTTTATATAAGAGGAAATCACTCCAAAGTGAGGGAAATCCCCTCTTAAAAAATGTGTTACCAGAACAGGTTTTTCCATTGGAAGATTACCTCTCACCATTCCAGTGAAAACCGGAATATTTTGGATACCCCATCACTTTCTATCCAGGTGACAATAACCACCAGGACAAACAGGGCGACAAAGACTGCAATATAAGCTTGATAGGGGATATAACCTTTCCCCATTCTGTCCAAAACAACAAAGAAACATTTTGTGTAGCAATACATTTCAGGCTAAAATAAATAAAACAGCTATTGCTGCAATAGCCACCATCAAGCGGTCCCACAGCTTCTTCCTGGTTGAATGACAGCCAGCATCATTCAATACACTTCCTCTGAGCCCAGGTTATCATGGTAGTAAAGTTTATTTTAAAGCTGAACTCCAAGCAAACAACTAAATACAGAGATGAAATACATATATGGGAGCTGTATTACCTGTCAAAGAAATTGGATTTCTGCCCATCCAGTCCTTAGTGGCAGGGCAGAAGACCTGATTTTTCTCTGCTGCAGTTAAGTAACACTTACAGGTCTTGTCTCTCCCCCAGACTATGAATAGGCAGTGAAGGAGAAGCACTACAGTGGTGAGCTCATCTCTCCCTCTCTGCTATTTCTTCCTCTCAACATGCACCTTGTCAGCACACAAGTTGATTGGCTCCTTGTGCTGCTTCTTCTCCCAGCCTGAGTTCTGCTGTAGAGGAACCTCTAGATGCTGATACCATGGCCGTTCATAACTATACACCACCCAGATCAGTGTATTTCTTCAGTGGGTACGGTCCGGTGTTTATAATTAGCTGTGACTTCTCATCCCATACAAATCAATGACAAGCTGAGAGGCTCGGCAGGTGCCCACGTGTAATTGCAAATGGAGTGATTACCTGCAGTTTATTGACAGATGAGTGGACCTTAATGGAAACAGGGTCCCTCATCTATCCTTAGCCGCATGTAATCGCTGCATGTGCAAATACATGTGAACGGCTGCAGACATTGGCAGCCTGTCATTTGTACAAGCTTGCTGTCCGCAGCTGATCTATTTCAAATACAATTTGTGTCTTGAATTGTGTTGTACAGATACTCCTCGCTTAACGACTTACCTGTTTTGCGACCACTCGCACTTACGACCGTCCTCCGAGCGACCTCCGACCTCGCGCGTCAGCGCCAGTGCGACGTGTCGCCGGGGGAAGTGACGTCCTCCGTTCTTCACAGCGCGTCCCCGTGAGTATTTTCATTGCCCGATGTACAGTACACTGTTCAGTACTGTACATCGGCAACGCTATACAGTACTGTACTAATGCAGTACAGTACTGTATAGAGTTCCTCACTTAACGACCAATTCGTTTAACGACCTGGTCGTAGGAACGGAACTCGGTCGTTAAGTGAGGAATACCTGTAATTGTGATGTCTTCCCTGTGTTGCAAAGTGCTGCGTAAACTGTTGGCGCTATATAAATCCTGTATAATACTAATAATATTAAAAATAATAATAACTAAAGCAGCCAATCAAATTCCCCTGATCACTTTTTTACTACAGGTTAGAAAGCCTCTGATTGGTTGGCACAGACAACCCCACTTGGGCCCATTTTGCTCCTGTTTTCATAGATGCCATTGCAAGAGCATTATTTCTTATACATTCACACTAGGCTATTTTTAAGCCAAACATATACTGTAAGAAACTCACAGCAGAGCTGAAAAAACAGTTTCTAATGAAAATCATAAAGAATGAACAGTAGATTATTTCTGACAGCTCAGTAAATTAACCAGTACAAAACAATGGCAAGGGCCTGTGTGCACCCCAAGGCACTGTCACACATAATAATATGTACCCTTGGCCACCCAAGGAGACGTGCCATGCTTGGTCTAAGTGCCTCAGCCCGTACTTCTACACTGTGCTGCTTTTCTAATTACAAAGTGTTGGATGGAGGAAAAACTTTGAAGCACTTACGAAAGAGAGGTCATAAAACACAGCGTACTCATTGTTCCCCCGCAGATATTCCCAAACATTCTCAGTAAAATCAACACACTTTCAGCTGAGAAGTGCCTTGGAATAGATTATAAACCTAAATCGAGCCTATGTTAAGCTTCTCTAGCGAGCTCCAACCATGTAGACAAAGTGGTGGCTTTCCTGGAGACAGGCTGCTGAATTATTCAAGCGGAACTATCTGTGTTTATAAATGTTCAGACTTGTGCCTATATCGCGGCGAACCCGAACCTGGCACCATATTTTGCTGGTAATAAAAGCCAGTCATTTTTCCGTTAACAAGGCAACAGGTTTTTCAAAAGTCGCACACAAAGATTTTGTTGACCTAATCATTTTAAATATTGCAACTATTTTTACAAATTAATTGGAAAATTTGGTAAATTGGTATACTGTACATTTCGCAGTCATACATTTTTTATATAAAATTCTGCAAATGTGCTTTAAAAATGAATCTTTTTCAGAGCTGATGTGGTGATCAATCACTTTATTTTACTCACTGAAATAATTGCTTTTCTCAAAGCCCATCTCTGGACAAATGTAGTTCCCCCAAATTCCTCTCATCCACCCTGTTCCCACCCATTCGCAATTTTTTTTTTTTTAAAGCATCTAAAAGCCTTTTTTACTCACCTGGGTCCACCATCACAGCGCCCCAATACTCAAACAAACACACTACTATATTGAGAAAAACTAACTTCTAACACTTAGATGCTGTGCTTATTAGTGATTAATCACTGTGACAATACCATATAAATAAATTGCACTGCACTTACTTTAAATTAATACCCTAATTAATATGCTGTAATATTATAAATAATCCCAATTATAACAATCAATAAAATAGTGAATTTATAACAAATCATGTGACTTTTGGTGATTAAATTCCGGTGGGCGGAACACATTGGCACCACTGGTCCTTAGATGAGCAAACCATGATTTCTGAGATCCAATGCAGACTAGACTAGACTAGACCATTGTGTGTATGAGACTAAAAGTTGATCTGCTGAAAACTTGGCCTTTTCTTTTATTTCTTTAATTATGCAGTGATATTTGATATTATTAATTTATTGTATGATGCTTTTATTCTACAAATAATCATTTAATACAGGGTACTTCTAAATTTCAGCGTGTAGCTAACACTAGCTTTGCACTTGTTGCCTGCAGACTGAAGATCTAGGCAGCTTCATTTCATTTCAGACTGGAGGAGGAGGAGATCATTACAAAAGTATGGTGGCAATAGAAAAACTTGAAAAATAGCTCATGGTTCCCAGAGAAGGTCACAAGAGGCCACATGTCAATGTGGTCCCCACGTCAATGTGGTCCCTACTAAGAATTGATCGAGGTTGAACTGCTATCTGACTAAAAACTCCACTACTTGAGAAAAATGACTATACATACATAAAAGAAAATACAATTTAAAAAAGATTAATGTTAACTCTAGACAGATATAAAGAAAGCACATTTTAATACAGTAATATATCCCTTGAAAATCTTTGCAAGCTGAACCCCAGGCAGAAATTAAACATAACTTAATCCAGGTATGTTTGCATTAGAAAATCCTTTACTTATTTTCACATAGTTATATAGTATTTCAGGTTGAATAAAGACACGGGTCCATCGAGTTCAACCTTTGTGTGTCTGTGTGTGTCTGTGCGGTCCCTGTGTGGTCTAGTTTTTAAGTGTGCCTGTACCCCTGTATGTTACGGTCTCTGTGGAAGGTATCTAAATGATTTTTGAATGATTCAATACTCTGCTGATACCACTGCTTGTGAAAGAGAGGCCCTTTGTGATTAAATCAATTTCTCCACCAATTTTAGATGGTGGCCTCTTGTCTTTTTTAGGGAGTTTACAGTAAAAAGTTTTTTGCTGATGCTGCCATCACCATTGAACAATGGATTATCAAAATCAGGTTCCCTCTTAATCGCCTCACATGCTGCAGGCATAACAAAACTGAATATCTTCATTTTAGACTTCTGTAATCCCTTGCAAAGAAGCATTGAGGCTAGGAGAGGGAGGAGCAGCACTAAGAGCCATATATGATCTATTGCTTTGCATGGTGACTTCAATGAAAATGCTTATAAAGGGGGGAGCAGAGGGATGACTCGTCAGTGTGGTGTTGCTCCTTTGCTGTCCAATCACAGGCTTGGGTGGGTCCTGGACCTGGCTGTATTGCTTAAAAAGGGACCAATTTTCCCCATTAAGGGAAAAGTGATAGAGTCTCTTGCTAGCCTACCCCTGCCCTTACCCACCTTCACAGCTCTCCTTTGCTAAGCAGCCAATCGACAAGCCTTTCACATGAAAGAGGTGGTGACATCATGAACACTGTGTAAGCTCTGACACTGTGCAACATGAGCCTTACATAAAGTATTATATAGTGGCTGACTCAGAAAAAGGGGCAGTGGGGAAGCAATGTGAAGGTGAGAGGTTTAAAGGGGCCCCTGTCACTTTGCCCTAGAAGGGTTTCTTTAATTGAAGCACACAGCAGAGTGGACCAGGACCTGACTGTGCTCTCTAGGAATGGTACCTGGATCCAAAGACTGGCTGAACAGAATCCTAAATACTTGGCAGGTGACAAATCTTACAGATGTATTTCAAATCTATATTTACCTATTTGTCTGGAGTTCAGTTTAATGTAATTTAAATGCAGCTAGCATAAGCATCCTGCAATACAGGACCCAGAAAGTAAAGAAGAATGGCCAGTACCAGCAGCTAATAGGGCTCTACCACGCTGCTCAGGGATGTCACTGTAACAGTGGGAGCTAAATGATGGAAGGAGTGGGCAGATTGATGGTAACTACCAGGTCTTGTGCTCCGCTAGACAAATTCCTGTCATTTTCGACTAGCAATATACAGTAAAAGCTGTAAATCACCAAAGCAGCTTCATGTATAATTATAGTGCATTTTATTGTACTTACGGGGGCACATTTTACATCGCACTGCTTTTTCACACACTCGACTATGCGGAGTCCTGTGATCGAGTCCTTCAAGTCTGTACACTGGCACGTCTGGCATCCGTCTTCCCACAGGCTTCCAACCCGATACACATTGTTCTTATGGATGCAGACCTATACATTGCAAACCATCAACAGTTTTTAGAACTATGGTAGACAGGATTCTAACCTTTTCAAATGGCCTTTATTTAAAACTTGAGCCAAAACTTTTTTTTCTACCTCTGAATAATGTGGGGAAGGGATAGGAGGGTTTTCATTGCTGTGTTCAGCTGGGAAGATGTTTACTTACTTCCTGTTCCAAAGACAAAACAGGAAGTGAGAGAAAGTATCCACAAAGTGAGGGGGCATTCCACCTTTGATACTTTGAACAGGTGTCCCCTGTGAAAGATTTTACCTCTGCTGCTGACCCCAAAATCCATAATTGTAAAAAAATCCCTTCTTTCTGTCAAGTTAATACAAGTCACCAGGACAGAAAGTAAGTGTGAATCTCCCAAATGATGACACAAACAATGAAAGATAAATATATCCTCATCTTACCTCAACATACACAAAACAACAAAAAAAGTTTGGTTTGAAATTCACTGTAATGCCCAACTAAACTTTAAGCATGTAGTGGAACTTTACTATGAAAATTGCTAGCAGGAAGACTTTTATTTGCAGAAGAAACATTTTGGGGTATTGGGGGGGGGGGCACACACATATAGGGGTGCCCCTGCCAGTCACTTGGGAAAGAAGTAGGATGTGCTGAATGCTATGCAAATACTGACTTTTAGAAAGTCGATTTCAGCCTAGGAATTGCAGGCCGAGGATGGGTGAAACTAGATCCCCAAGGTGGCTACCAAATTGTATGAAAATGATGAGGTGCAGCCACACTAGAATGCTGAAGTCCAAAAATGTTTAATCCAATAAGGATTCAAGAAAGCTTAGTATATTTATCCAATGCTTTTTGGGACTTCAAGAGTGCATTTAAAGTTGCTCTTCCTAAGATTCAAGCTCTACCTTTTATTGGAATAAACATATTTGGAATTCAACATTCTGGCGTGGTATTCCTGTTCCTTTTCTGGGAATGTTGGAGAGCCCCGGTGACAGATTACTAGTTGAAAGCAATAAAGGCAACAGCATATATCTTTATGGGACACTATGCTGGGTTTTCTGCAGATTTGGAGGCACTCTGTGTAAAACTGACCTTGCTTGCCCTGTCTTTTGTTAAGAGTGGCTAGTTCCCCTTCTAACATCCACTATGCGTCTGTGTAATCTGCTTTTCTTTTAATTGGTACTGGCTTTATAAGCAACTTTTACTTTTAAATGATTATTTTTTTGTACTGTACTTACAGTACAGTACAGTACAAATATAAAAAATATACATTTTCATTATATTCATTAAACAAATAAGATCAGATTTGCAAATGTGTACCCACATTTTAATTAGAAATCCCCTTTAACAGTTGGGGTTTGTTTCTGCCTTTTGTAAATACAGCACGTGTCCCTACCTGATCTGGAGTACAGGTAACTGTGGTGCAGCCACACTCATCGGTCAGGATGTTGGAGATGTATCCAGGTGGACAGGTATTTGTGGAGTTGGAACAAGTACAGTTGCAATTATAGTTATCACAACACTTTGTGCTAGTCTTTGTTAGCGTCTTATGAGCTGGACAGGTTGGGGGTACAGGACACATCTTTCTTTTGCACTCTGTTGACATAACGAAAATGACATCTTAATCAGGCCTAATCACAGGAGAGCTTTTTTTAAACACAAGGTATCTGCATGTCTCACTTCAGTCACAAATTCCAAAAACCAAATGTTAATTGTTATTATAGTGCATTCTGGATGGTGGGTGGAACCATCAAATTATTTCTTTATTACCTTGGGCCAACTGTACATCTAGAACTATTGGTTTATGGCACATATACAGCCTAATATTATGAATCATTGTATTCCAAGCATCTGTAAACATTTTGAAAGTAGAGCAAACGAAAACTTTTGCAATTAAAGTCAGAGCTCAAAGACACCTTACCAGACCAAGAGCCCTGTCACACTTGGGATTTTGTAAAGTTGTATAGTGTATCACACTAGACACAGTGATTGGATTTTCTTCTCATAAGCAGATGATGTGGCCGTTTTTAAAACAGGGAGTCTTTTTCACAAGGATTTTAGATATTCCACCTTATAGACCCAAAATCCCAGATTTATTTTTGAGAGTCTCTTGGTTGGTCCACTATTCTGTTCCTAAAATGTCCTTCACTCACATCTGTAGCTATAGGCATTGTGGAGAAATTTGTCTTAAGAGTTTCCAACAGAGTCACCGAAAAAATGAGTTATTTTCCTACTACTTTCGTTTGCACCACAATCTTGCCATTCCGGCAGCCTTCTAATGTAAACAAATAGCAGATGTTTCTAATCTGTTAGAAACCAACTAAAACACAACTTCAGAGTCTTTGTTGTGATCTTTGAAAATTAATTACTTCACATTACAAGCAGCTAGAAAGGTCACAATGGCTTGTTTAAAGCTCTTTTACTGGTTGTTAAGAATATGTGACTGCTTTATTGTCCATAGTCTAGGCACAGGTACACCGTAAAGTCAATGTATGGACTTATCAATGTGTTCTGAAAAATATACTATATGGCTACAAGTTTGTGGACACTGGGCATGCCAAACATACAGTATATGATTTTGTTGAATATCCTATTCGAAAAAAACCATGGCCGGTAATGTAGAGTTGGCCACCCTTTGTGGCTAGAACAACCTGCACTCTTGTAGGAAGGCTTTTCACAAGGATTTGGAGCGTGTATGTGGGAATTTGATCCCATTCAGCCAAAAGAACATTTGTGAGGTCAGGTACTGATGTTGAATGGGAAGATTTGATTCACATTTGCCATTCCAAAACATCCCAAAGGTGTGTTATAGGGTTTGGATTAGGGCTCTGTAAGTTAAAGTTCCTCCACACCAAATTCATCAAACCATGTCTTTATGCTTTGTGAACAGGGGCACGGTCATGGTGGAACAGGCAAGAGCATTTCCCTAATTATTGGCACAAGGTTGGAAGCGCACAATTATCTAAAATGAATTTGCATTCTGTATCATTAACACTACTATTCACAGAAAATTCCTGAACCTTATAATTGGAGGGTTGTCCACATACTTTTGGTCATGTTATGATCTATAATGTTCATGGGGGCAGCCATATACATTCTCGTTGAAATCACAGACATCTTGCTTTGCAGCAGTTCACAATATTTCTGCTTTACTGCTTCTTCTCACAAAAGATGGAGTTGTGCTTTAAATAACTCCTGCCTATACATTGCTCATGTGATCTCAGTTGATGGAAATTTGGGTACAGAGGTTTGCTTTGCCTTAGCCTTTATCCTCACCCTTACAAGAGATCATGTGATCTGGTGTCTAGTCACATGACTTCAGAAGCCAAAAGCTGCCTGGCAAGCCATAGCAGGACAATTCAAATAGCAATGAAGATATGAAAAATAAGCCATAGTAATCATTTGTAATGTTCATCAAAATGTACACTTATGATGGAATAATTCTGATTTGTTGCTGTGGTCATTGTACATGTATTCACTACTTTACTAAATACGCTTGTAGGCCCTCAAAAATAATGTAATAAAAATATGATTAAGGATCATTTTCTTTTGACATCCAATATTATATTATTTACTCTTGATAAGACACACACTAGACGTTACAGAGCCCTCCTAGGGTAGTTCAGTAACACAATGTTGAAAGCCATCACTAAGACAGAAGAAACGGTGCCATCTTCTGGCTTAATGGAGAAAATTCTCTGCAACTTGTTTATGATCCCAACAGAGTTTCGGACACAAAACATTGTAGAGGCTTATAATCACTTTAGATATTATAGGCTTCATACTAAAAGGTGTCTGGCCTAGCGATGATCAAAGCTGAGACACAAACACAATATGATCTCTAACATTTTTGTAAAATATAAACGTTTAAACAGTGTTGAGTACATTATTTGTAAATATGTCAGGTTTGGCATGGTTTAACTCAATACACTACAATCTCAACACAAATTAGTAAACTAAACATGGAGCGGTGGCTACTTTACAACTCGCAAATGTACCATGGGGAACAAAAGTAGCCACCCTCCAGAAGGAAAGACAGTGTCAGCACAAACACTACAGTGTCAGCACAAACAACTGTATATACTATATTGTTTAGCTACATGATAGTATTGTGCAGGAGACATCAGCAGTCTATAAGACCCTTGATATCTCCTTTGCCGTTTACCAGGCAAGAATTTGACAGCTTTGAACCCGCAAGCAGGGGCGTATTTACCGCAAGGCAAGCAAGGCGTTTGCCTAGAGTGGAACTTTGCAGGGGGCAGCGCCCCCAAATCAGGGAAGGAAGCCAGCGCCAGGCGCAAAAAATCAGGCAGCCTCAGCTGGCTAATCAGGTGGCCGCTGGTGGGGCCTAGCAGCGAGCTGCCGGGTGAAAGAGGAGGTGGAGTTGTGGCCTGGGCCGAAGGAGATGTGGCCTGGGCCAAAGGAGACGTGGCCCGGCCGGTGGAGGCTGCAGGTGGCTGGAGGAAGAAGCTTTGGCGGGTGGAGGAAGAAGCTTCAGCGGCTCCATGCCGGAGGAAGAAGCGGCATGTCTTGGAAGCAGGCTGGGGAGCTGCAGGTAAGATTAGCAGCACGTGTGCAGGAAAAGGGATCTTGAACTCCATGCGCTTGGCATCCGGAAGTCTTTTTTTGTGATCTTGGGTTCCTAGGAAAGCAGGTGAGCCTGGAAACTATGATGCGGGAAGAGGGCAATCCAGGGCCTGCAGCGGTGATCGGGAGGCATTATAATCACCCAGATCATATCTACAGGATAAAGCGGAGCTGGAACTAAAATGTAAAGTAGAAGAGGTAGTCGCCGTCACTCCAAATATATGCGCAGCCAATACTTCTATATTGACTTACATGTCATTTCACAATGCAAAGGGAACTAAAATGTAAACACAAGCTTGTGGCTGCTGTTGCTTGTTTATGTCCTCTTCCTGACAAACAAATGAAAAGTCAGCTCACCCTTATCTGCTCACTCCTTTTATCTCATGCACTCCTCCATGTAACAATACTGCAAGTACAGATGGAGGTACGTGCCATAATGTGAAAGTATTCTCTGTACACTTGCACATTACAGTATGGCAGGAGCTCACCCACCCCATGTGGAATTTAGTTTCAAGTTAAAGCTAACATGTTTCGGGGGTTCAAATGTTCTTTCTTCATCAACATTTGGCTAATGCTGAAAATAACCCCTATACTGGACTGAAATCTAGAGTAGTTCCAGGGATCTACTTCAGAAGACTGTTCAGCCACTCAAACTGGTTTCTGGAGCAGGCCCTTTCGTTTTATAATCACTCACTCTCCAGAACTACGCCATAAACATCAGCCTGGAATAGGGATTTTCTTCAGCATATGCCAAACCTTGATGAAGGGGGGACCCATGGAATCCCTGACACGTGTACCTTTCAATGCACTTTTATTAAAAGAAATAACCTTATGGACTTTACAAAATGTGATTGGCCCTGTCCCTCTTACCCGCCAGTAACAATATAAACCTGAAAGTGGTTCTTTATTTGTAGCAAAAACATTCCTTTAGATATACTTTAATGTGCCAGTCATAGGTAGGATGAACTAAAGTGTACATGGCAGTCATCTTTTATAAGTTTTTTACACTTTCATCATGTGCTTTGCAAAAGACTGTTTGTATTTCAAGCTGGGTACAGACCAGTAAATTATTCCTCTGTTGCAGTGGTAGGCAACCTGAGCTCTCCAGTTGTGGTAAAACTGCAAATCCAGTCATGGCTTTGCCTCTGGAAGTCATGCCTGTGACTGTCAGAGTCTTGCAATGCCTCGTGGGATTTGTAGTGTCCCTAAACTTTTCGCCACCTGAGGCGTGGTGGGGGGTGCTGGGGGTGTACGTGCCGGTACATGTTATCAGGGGGGGCAGATGCTGGTGTACCCCTGGCTCTGGCTATGTCAGCCCAGCTCACTGACATCACTGCTTGCCAGGAGCTGGGAAGGCGCCAGCCAGAATGTCCCGCTTAGCTCCTGGCAACCCATGCCAGTGAGGAGGGCGGGACACCGGTTGCTTAAAAAAACCCCACGTGATTTAATGAGATGCAACCGCCTCAGGCTGCTTCATTATAGGGATGGCCATGTATATATCAGCAGGATAGTCTGCAGTTTTACAAAACTACTGTCACAAATGTCACCCGCAGGAAAATAAATGTTTTGATTCCTGAAATAAAGGTGAACACACACACGTTACAATCTAATTGTACAAGCTGTCTAATCATAATAAGAGGGTCTATCTACATATCCATCCAATTTATATCCGATCAGATAGGCACTCACACTAAATCGTTTTTGGAAGATCACAGTAATAATCAGACTGTAATCTGTGTGAGCTGTTTCACTATACAGCTCAAAGATGATGGGATACAGTCACTCTGATGACAAATTGGTTGGCGAGGGGGTGTGTCCTTTGTTAAAAAGCGTTGCCTTTACATAGTATCTGTGTTTTCTATCTCTGAAAGCTAGAAGGTAAGCCAGGTCATCGGTGCAACTCTTGCCCACAGCAACCAAATTCCTTGATTAGTGTCAGAGATAAGGCCTGGTTGGGGTCTATTATAGGCAAAGAGCTGCCCTTTTGCTCCAATTTCACGGCCTCGCAGACTTTCAAAGCTGAAAATGTTTCACGATTTTATACATAGATATACATTTTCAGTAGGTGTGACTGGTGGAGCAGCTGTAGTGTTTGACAGCCAGTCTAGTGTACACTCGGTAACATATGCTCGTCCGCTGGGCTAGGATCTCTGGAGTTTTCCCAACTTTCCCGTGTGAAAAGCCTTGCTCGTGGTGTTATTGCCTCGCTGTGGAAGCTCACTGCATTGGAATGTGTGGAGCAAATCCTCAGCCAAGCTGGTGGTATGGAACTGGGGTTTGGTGAATAATACACTGGGATAAAGGGAATGAAGGCTTTTCACAGCACTATATAAAACGAAGCGAATTCAAACCAAAAGGTCAACTGTTGAAAGACGCCTCTTAGTAAACGGAGCCCTGTAACAAGCAGCGGAACATGGATTTTCCCAGAAATCCCTATTTATGGCGGTTAAAGTATTAGGTTTACCTCAATAATACCAGCCAGATCAATGGGGATGAATGCAGAATCACACACAAAAATATATATTATATGTGTGTTTGTGTGCGTAGTGGTAGATTAATAGTTAAAATAACGTTGATTCAAAGATCTTTGTACCATGAACAAGCATTTGTCCAGAAGTCTCATATCATCAAAGCATTTCTTGGTGATTTGAAATATGCTTGTAATTACTGTAGAGTTACAATATATTCTGGTGACTTAAAGCATAACTAAACCCAAGAACAAAAATGTAATATATTGCAGCTTACCAGTCCTTAGATGTGGTGGCTGCATTCGTTTTTATTTTCAGGGTAAGATTATTTTCAGCAAGTACAGAAAGTACAGGTTGATCTTGGCAAACAAAATGCAATGCAAAATATAAAGTAAATGTACAAAGGCAGACCCTTTCGCTGCTACAGATGTAAGTACAACGTACATAGCAGCAGGGAGCTGTAAACACACTTCTGGCTGCTATAGCACCTGGGAGTGTGGTTACACTTCCTCAGCATGATCTGTGCTATCAGCAATCTATGTGATAGCAATAACGTTATGTGTAAAAAAAATAATAATTTTTACTTAAAGGAGAACTATGGGGTCAGTGTTTTTCCCCATAGTTCTCCTTAGGGTACTGGGAGGACACAAACTAGCGTCCTCCCGTTACCGTAAGCTCAGTATACCGCTAGCTACAGCTCGCGGTATACTGAGACGCCGCAGCCGGAGCGGATCCCGACGTAGCTGACGGGATCCGCCCAGCTGCGTGAGTGACAGCTGGCTCTGCCTATCTAGAGGCAGAGCCAGCTGTACCCGCCCCCTCCCCGTCCGTTCCGCCAGTCAGCACTGGCAGATCGGAGCGGGGAGAGGGGAATCCAGCGGCAGAGAGCCGTGACAGGATCGAGAGGCGAGCGAACCCGGTATGTGTTCGCTCACCTCCCAATTTACTGAGCCGACCTGTGACAGTCTCATTGTCACAGGTCGGCTAGAACTATGAGGTGAGTGAAAAGCACTCACCTCATAGTTCTCCTTTAAGTAAAATAAGTAATTAAAAAAACAAAAACATTTTAAAGCCCCCTCACAAGTAATTGCATGTGTTGGATGCGCCTATGTATGAAAATGATGATTGCACCACACATGTTGGATATAGCCGTGCACGCCAGAGTGAAAGCAATCATTCTGGGGCCATCATTTATTGATAACTTTAAATTTCAATCTTAAAAGTCCATTCAAGTAGCTTAACAATTAACAACAATGGGGGAATTTATCAAAACTGGAGTAGATAAAATCTGGAGCAGATTTGCACTGCAACCAATCAGCGTCTCTCATTTTCAAATCTTACCTAAGCAAACTGAAGAGAGAAGCTGATTGGTTGCCATGGGCAACTGCTCCATATTTTGTCTGCTCCAGTTGTGATAAATTCCCCCCAATGTATCTTATTTGTGTATCACTCATGCTCATGCTGACACTGTCCTTCCTTCGGGAGGGTGGCTACTTTTGTTCCCCATGGTCCCTGTGTGTTGTAATGTAGCCACCGATTCAAGCTCACTCCTGGGATGGACTACAATCTCAATACAAATGAGACAACTAAACGTGAGATTTTAATCCATTACAGGAGTGAGCTTGGAGTGGTGACTACTTTACAGCACACACAGGGACCATGGGGAACAAAAGTATTCATCCTCCATATTAGTGTCAGCACTAATATGATTTGAGGATCTACAGCTGAGTGATACACAAATAAGATACAATATTGTTAATAGTTAAGGTACTTGAATGTATTTTTAAAATGTAACTCCCGAGTATAGTGTCACTTTAAATTTCTGTCCTGTTAAGGCTTTTAAAGTTTCGTCTATAAACAATTTGGGATAGCAAGGTTTATCACCGTTTCACGGGCGCACGTAGTTTGAGGCTTGGCATGTTTGATATCTTTTTACTCAACGCAACTGCCATTCGAACAGTATCCACTTAGAAATGATGTCAAGGAGGTCTTACTGTTGGATTATCCAAGCATATAAAAAAAAACAGGAACCTGGCCCCACCTAGGAATACTTGCTGGCCCCACCTAGGAATACTTGCTGATCCCGACTGAGGTAATGTTTTTGTCTAGAATATTTATTTTTTGTATATGCCTATAATAAAAACCTTGGCATGAAAAAATATAAAAATATATATACAGTATAAATATATATATATATAGAGCGTACCACATATATAGATTGGAATGCATTCTCCAGGGTTGGTGAGTACGGGCACCATTCCATCTTCACAGTGTGGTACAGGAGGTAAGGAACAGGTACTGTTATCACAAACTGGATAAAAAAAAGAAAATAGCATAGATTAAGATTGTGAAAAAGTCAAAACATAACTCTACTTGTAACTTTTTTTCCCCACACACACTTTTCCTAATCAGTTTACTGCGATACGTGAAGAAGTGAAGAAGGTTTATGTACAGCAGTGGTTCTCAACCTGTGTAACCTCAAGACCCACATTTATCCTTGGTTATCAAGTCGCGACCCAAGTTGCACTGCAATGGAACGCATGGCATGGTTTTTCCGGTGTGGACGATCGAACTATGAGTGGGAGGTGCATTCGGGGTAGCATTCATAGGAATGTCAATGCAACGCACCTCCCGCGTCAGAATGCACAGTAGGTGCAATCGCATGGTACAGTGCATTAATCGCTTGGGACTGTGTGATTAACACACTGTACTAGTGTGAATGGGCCCTCAAAAACACTGACAGACATACACGTACAGTTGCCGGGAGCCAGAATGTGACATCACTCCGGTCCAGGCACCTCTCCAAGACATGTGAGGGAGCTGTAAGCAATGCACGTATGGATGGAGATGCCTCACGGCCATACCTGCAGACCACCCCACCTCAAGCTGACACTTGGTGCCGGGCAGCATATTTTGAATTCTGCTTGGTGCGAGAGCTGACTGTGTTGCGCTAGGAAGAGGCTGAGGAACCTCATACCTGGAAAAGTGGAATGTATGTAGCGACCCAAATGAACACGGGGTCGCAACCCACTTTTGGGTCACGACCCACCAGTTGAGAACCAAGGATGTACAGTAAATGCAACCTTAGTGTGCAGCTTCCATTCCTAGAATGAATGAATCTCAAGGAAAATGAATTGTACTGACTGGGCTGAGACATCCTGGGAGGTTCCCTCATTGCAGTTATCATATTGTCATCATCAATTAATTAAAGCTGAACTCCAGACAAATATAAGAGACATAAATTAATACAGCTCTGTATTAATTAATACATTGAAGCCCAAACCTTGTTTTGTTTAGACTCAGGACTCATTCCTGTTGTGGCTATAAGACAGGAAGTGAAGGGAAATCTCCTTAAGAGGACAGAGATGGTAAAAAAAAAAAGAAGCGAGCAGGGCTTATAATCCTCCCTTATTCTATCCAAAACTAAAATAAAGGTATGGCTTCAGTTCTACTGGTGAAAGTACCTGAATTTTATTTGGTATCAGCCTTTTGCCGTCTCTTTAGCCCCATTGTCTGTGGGGCAGAAAGTGAGCGGAAATGTTCCAGTGAATAAAGCTATTGTGGTCACAGCTGTCTATGGCAGGTATTACACCTGTGTATTATGTGTTAAGCTGGGCAATAAATCAGCTTAGATACTGTACCTGCTGCATACCATACAGCGTAGTGACCGGTAGTTAAGGTGGAAGGTGCTCTTAATGACTGCTATGGGTGGCGCTGTGGAAAACTTCAAGAATTTGAAGATAAGTCACCAGCACTCAATAGCTCATCATAAGGTTGGTTTTAGTGCATAAACACATCACATAGATCAGAAAAGCTTTTGTGCAATAAGGTGAATTGTGTTAAGGCAACCCATTGATTAAGAATGGCCTGCTACTGCACCCAAGTCTAGCTAAAACCACACATGACCCTTTCTCAGAGAGCAAAGCATGGTAGTGCCTTACCATGTGCTTCAATGCAAATGCATTGCTGTAGTGTGTTAGGGTGCCCTTTGAATTGAATCTGACTTCCCCTTCCCACACCTGCATGTAAACAAAGGAGCTGGTGCTTGTGATGAGGTAATTTATCTTATATGGCCACATAACTATATTAGGTAAATGTCATTTACCAAATATAGGCATGTAGCCATATAAGGTCAATGATGTAATGGTGTCCCACCCCTTTCCCACTCCTTTCTCAACAGCGGATCATTGGGTGGCACGGAAGAAGGTTCCTTCTGGGTTCAGAGGAGCTCAGGTTTTGATTTAGTTCAGTCAGAACTAGGGATGCACAGATACTTTGCGAGTACCAGTGCAGATACTTGGCATTTTCATGAGAACTACCAGGTTTGCAGCGGTTGCAGCTGGGACCCGGCTCTGGTGCTCCACCACTGTCCTGAAATCATTAGTCTGTATTGTTTTAGAAAAAGTGTCACATGACAATAAACAAAAATGTATCGGTACTTGTACTTGTAAGTACTCGGCAAGTACCAGTACTCGTACTCGCAAAACTGGTATCTGTGCATCCCTTTGTTTATATTTATAAAAACAAAATCGTACATTAAAACAGAAATGTACTAATCCCAGGAGCTCCGTGTGCTGCTTACACATGACAGCTGCCTCCTAATTTTTGAATTTTTCTCTAGTGTAGTCTTGGAGCTCAAAAGTATCGGTACATGTACTCGTACTTGTACCGAGTACTGTACTTGGTATCTGTGCAACCCTAGTCAGAACCTTAGCCATCCTGATTGACTACCACAGGATGCTTTAAGGAAATAATTTCTCAGTGGAATACCCTCTCAGCTGTTTCTTTCTATACTACTGTAGTCTCATTTGGTTTAATCTCTCAAAAAACTGAAGTGGAATGGGCTTTTAGAAAGAAAATGTAGCTGTTGAAGTAAATCTGATGTAAAACATACAAAGAATCAAAGGAGTATAATCCAGATAGGCTCACAAACAGTCCTCAACAAAGCTCCAGCATAACAAGCAAAGCCTTGAGGGCCTCGGTTTAACACCTAGCCAATAGATTAAGACTCTGCATGTCTGCATCACAAACATTTTCCAACCGATAGATCTGAGAGGAAGGAAGGCAAAATTTGTCAAATAAAGGGATTAGGGAAGCATTCTGAAATGTTGGTATGTTAGAAGTGATTTTCAAAATTACTAAAATAGTATCGTTTTGTTTATTGTTATGGCAACATCATGGGAAGAGGTCTGTTTACTGGCCAGGATGGCAAAAACATCAAGAAGCCCTACAATATTAACCTGTAGGAACAGGATGTAACCTTTCGCAGTACACAAAATACAACACCAATCCTCACCTTACCCTCAGGTCCTTCTCTAAAGTCTCGCCCAAGTCTTTAGTAACAAAGCAGAAGGATATTCCGAGGTGTAAAAATGATTATGAATTATCAAAGAAAACACTTGGAGAATAAAAAATTGAATAACATATTCCAGTGAGACTGACAGAATGTAAAAGTGACTCATTGATTCGTCTACATGAACTGACAGCCTTTATTAAAAGATCACACATTTTGGATGCAATGTTTTGCTGTTTAAATGAAATGCTTTAGGTGTACTTTATAGGTGTGAATATGATTTGCTTGGCGTATGATGCAATTATTAAAAGAAACTTACAAATATTTTTTGATGTTAACTATAATAAATACAAAAGTGTAACTCCAGTTTTTTTTTGTTTTTTTTTTTCATTTTGGATAAAGTGGAGATCAGATTTAAAGGGAATGACAGGCCCCTGGAGCCATTACCTAGGCTTTGTAGGTTAGCCAAAGGGCCAGCAAACTATGAAATCAGGAGCCCAAAGACTGCCCCACATTCATTGTTTGGGGTGTACATATAATTATTAACACTGATCAGATTGCAGTGAGAAGCTTGCTTTTTCATGGTTCCAAAATGGTGACTATCTGACATTTGAGGCTCTATTGGTTTAGGCGACAGGTATTCTAGAAATAAAATGTCTCAATTCTCAACTGGCCTCCAGGTTATTCAAAAGCAAATTTATTAAACAAATGTCAAACAAACAAATGCCACACACATTGACAACAGATTGTTCTTTATTATCTGAGAGGAATTAGTCTTTGGCGCGGTTAAGCCATTGACGTGTCATTCTTGGAATCTTCTGCATGAGATAGACACTGAGTCAGTTCTAATAACAAAAATATTTTCCACTGAAATATTACGGTGGAAGCGCTCTGCATCTGCCAAAACCTAGACATTTCCGAACCCGCAGCAATCACTGAACAAAACAAAGTATTTTAGAACCTGGGAGGGAGATATGAAATTTCTGAATGATTCAATATGGACGTATCGTATGAGAAAAAGAGAAAATGGCAGATTTAAAGCTGAACTCCATCCTTCCCTTTAGTCTTGCACAGTTGTACCAGCTCCTCTTCTGCATTGAAATAGCTTACTTGGATTTTACTGGACACTGTGAGCTTCTCACAATGTGCATTAGAAATTGCATCAAGTCAGACAGAGCCGCCTCATTTCCTGGCTGGAGGATGTCCAGCATCCAAGTGAAACTGATGCTGGACCACATAGTTACATAATATTTGAGGTTGAATAAAAACACAGGTCCATCAAATTCAACCTTTGTGTGTCTGTTGTGATTGTGCATGTGTATGTGTGTAGACACACTGCATGACCTTTTTTTTAAGTGTACCTGAACCTCTGTATGTTACGAGCTCTTAGGAAGGTATCTAAATGCTTTTTGAATGATTCAATACCCTCAGCTGATACCACTTCTTGTGGCAGCGAGTTTCAGACTTTAACCGTTCTAACTGAAAAAAAAACCCTACGTACCTTGTAGTTAATTCTTTTCCCCACCAGTTTTAGGTGGTGACCTCTAGTCTTTGTTACGGAGTTTACTGTAAACAGTTTATTACCGATGTTGCCATCACCACTAAACATTTTGTACATCAAAATCATGCCCCCTCTTAATCTCCTCACTTCCGCCGTGAACAAGTTTAAATATAGTAACCTTGTCTCATAGCTTATGTCCTCCAGCCCCTTAATTAGTTTAGTTGCCCTTCTCTGGACTAACTCTTTCATTGATTGGATTTCAATTCTTTTAATTATAGAAGGTCTTCATCACATGTGGGCATTACCTTGAAGGGTTCTGCTGCTTTTAGAAGCTATGTACAGCCCCTTCCACCAGTCATGGTCTGCCTGCATTGCAAAGAGACCATCACTGTAGGGATGTCCCGATACCGATGCTAGCATCGGAATCGGGCCCGATACAGGGCATTATGACAAGTACTTGTACTTGTCAAAATGCCCCGATGCCTAGCGCCGAAGCTTGTGCTGTTTTTTTTTTTCTCTTACCTTCCGTGGTGGCTGGGGTCCTCTGGGCAGGCTGGAGGAGCGTTGCGTCACTGCTGTGGGCGGAGCTCCAGGTGGGGTCTAATGTAGTTGGCCGGCGACCTGGAGCTCCACCCACAGCAGTGACGCGACGCTCTGCCGCTCAGCGCCGCCGACGTCGTCCTCACATGAGAGAAAAAAAATATCGGCAGCTCGTGAGGCACCTAAATTGCACGTGGAGCGGGGGGCGTGGAGCAGTGACAGGGCAGGGGGCGTGGAGCAGTGACGGAGCTGGACTCATGGATCTGTGACAGGCTCTGTCATCTCCCTCCCCTGTCCCCGGCTCGTTCTTGTCACAGGAGTTAAAGCACAGTGCTGTGCTGTGCTAATACTCCTGTGTTGGAGGTGACAGGGCCAATAAAGAGTACCTGTCACCTCCAAATGCTATCACACAGGGGTTTGTTAGCCCATGTGTGAAAGCAATACATTTAAGTGAAAAAAATAGTTAGGAAAAGTAAAAAATAATAAAATAAAGTTTAAAAAAATAACAACTGATTACAATTAAAAAGACAATAAAGTAAAAATAATAAAACAAATTAAAATAAAAAATGTTTACAAAGTAAATAAAAATTGAAAAAAAGAAAACCAGCCCTGCTGCCCCCATCTGCATTAGAATAAACGCACAGTGTTTTCAACCGCACAATCTGCCTGGCACGACTGGGGTGAATCACTGGTTTCCAAATAAGGTATGTTATAAAAAAGGTTTTAATTAGAAATCTCACTAGCATGTATGAAGGGGGAGGAAAAAATATATGTAGATTCAATTCCTTTAAAATATATCAGCAGGTGAATCATCAAACTACAACTGCCACATTGCCTAATGGATGTCACTCCCTCACTGGCTGAATTCTCGATTGCGAGTGAATGGACTTCAATGCCAGACTTAAAACTATCGATTTTAGGCAATTTCATCACTAATATGATCAAAAGTGATTGAAAGTGCAAAGCTAAACTAACATTAACAAGCTCAATCAAAAACAGGAATGACGTCAAGTAATCTAATAGAAAGTAATTGAATGTACTACTGAATCCAGTTGTTATTTCTTCAACTTGACCTCCTACCTCCATTGATTTATGACATTGACAATGATTTATGAAGGTAGTAGTAGCATTTATTATATTTGGACACAGTGAATGTGTGAAGATTGAAGCTGAACTAGTCTCCAGGCATGATATAACAGACACAAAATGAATGCAGCTCTGTAATCATTATATATCAATAAATCTATTTTTAAAATCAATATAAGTACTTGGATTTGACTTGGTATCTGTGGACCCCTGCACAGCTGATAGGGTGAGAAAGTAAAGTAACAGAGACATTAGCTTATTAGTGTGCTGCTTCTTCTTTTACTGTCCAGTCACACGTTTTGGGGAGAGAGGAAACCTGTAAATATTATTTACCAACAGACGGGACTGTGTAGGGTTGCAGAGTTATGTAAATAACTGGAGAGATTGGAATACAAATCCTTTAACCGCCCCTTTATATGTATTTCATCTGTGAATGTAGCCATTTGCCTGGAGTTTAACCTTTACAGAATGTTATGCCCCAAAATTGGTCCCATTCTAGCCCTGTACAGGTGGCAGGCCAATGCAAAGGAGTCCTAAATGCAGAACAGATTCCATGTGATACATAACAACAACTGGCCCTCTGACCAGAGATGCAAAAAAAAAAAAAAAGCCCACAGCACCTTTGGCATGAAAAGGGTTCAATAACAAAGTACTCACCGCATTCATATTCCGGGCAGCACTGATCGGAAGTCTTCTTCAGCTTTGGAATTTCACAGGGGCCACAAGTGATTGCTGAAATGAAATAAGACATTAATAGGCTGTTAGCACTTCATCACTTAACCAGGAGTTCTGAGAAACAGATATGTATTAGCTGGATTACGTTCGACGGTTGGGCACGGCTTGGGTGAGCAGTTAATCATCCTGTTATCCAGGCAAATGCAGATACTGCATGGTTCATGGGAGGGGATCCAGCGTTCCATATGCTAAATGGAAGATATTAACAATTAATTAGCTGCAAGAGAGATAATATCATGGCTAATGTATACATGAGTAACCTCTTAATGTATACTCTTAAAATAAGTGCCTGTCAACAAACCCTAATTAAAAGAGAGAACAAAAAAGTTTTTTGTATGTTAATATTCAGTTGTTTTAAACAGGTCCTCCAGCCATTAGACTAAACTACAGGAACATATACTGCATATATATATCTATATAGATATAGATATATATCTATATATCTATATAGATATATAATTGCTGCACCGATCATTTGGTAATATAATGTTATTGACCCCTTCAGTTCTCACACCTTTTTACCCCATACGGACCAAAGTATTTTTAACAATTTTAGCTACGGGCATATATTTCTGTCATGACATAAGACAGCAAAGGGATACAGTATATACAGTATATAAATATGTTTGTGGTACAAGATATGAAAAAGTTATTTACAAATGAAATATAGCTTTTTTTTATTTACCATCTTCTTTTTTATGCAGTGACACAAAATAAAAGTGATAAAATAACATTCTAAAACTAGCAAAAAGCATTAAAAATAGCTAACAGGAAAAGAGGGAGTAAGTTGATCAGGGCTAATCAGGGTTAACAGGGGATTACATAGGTAAGAATTGTATTAAAATGTAATACATTGTTTCTACTAATGATCAATGTAACCAGTTGTTACTGATCCCTGAGCCAGTAACAATATCAGTGTCTTATTCACACAGACCGGGAGCTTGACTGATAGTTGGACCTAACAGCATACTTACTGGAGGGAGATGGCATTGTAGGGCATAAGAGGTATGTAATTTTAATTGAAGTCCAGCAGAGGTATCTAGTATACCCTTGGTTTGTCAAATGGTTAAAGATTACCTTTTATATTTTAGTTTAACGCAAAATATCATATAATATAATTTTCTGTGTCTGACACATGTGATATAACAACCTGACAAATGCATTTTCCTGCTGACATATTGCGGTAATTCAGTGGAGTGGAGTCCATTACAATCTTGGATGGGACAACATTCAGTTTGCCCATCATAATAGTGGACCGAAGGACAATTTACAAAGTCACTATATGCAGAGGTAGCAGCAAGCTGAAAATGGGCTCTCGTTCCCAAGTGACCTCAGGTTACCAACTGTGACCCAATGGGGATTCCAGTTTTAATGCTTCAGGTTGGTGAAGGTTGGTCAAGGAGGTTGTATACTTCCTGCTCGGTGATATCCTAGTATGTAAATATAAAACTTCCTTACTGGGCCAGTAATGTCACCCAGGAGCCCCTTGCTGTTCCTGCTGCAGGGGTTCAAGAGGGCCCTTTATAAAACCACTGTCAATTTACCAAGAATTGGCAAAGTGACTGTGTTTTATTAAGACCTAAATGGTCAATTTTTTGCTAGCTATGCAGCTCTTATCTAATTTTACTTGAATCTTGCTAGTAAGGCAGAATCTGCTCTATGCCAAAGCTCATATATCTCATACACACAGGAAATCTGTTCTACCTTGGCTTCTAGTTGTCTCAAATAAGCTTGCATTGTATAGATACCTACTGACCCTAAGAGCTCCTTAAAGAAGATGCTATCTGCATTTAAGCCGACCACATGATATAGCCCCTATCCAATTTCTCAAAAACAAGAACTTTGTTTAGAAATGTTTCTTCAAATGTGACAGGTACCAGGACATACCTTGTGCTCCACTCCGTTCGGATCAACACACTGGGTGCACACACTTTCTGAGACACATTTTCCATTGAATGTCACATCTCCATCTGGGCAAAAGCAGCCTTCTGTTGGGTGGTCGGAGCAGACTGTTGCATTGTGGGTATTTCCACAGTCCCTATCACATCCTATCCGGCAGTGGTTGTACACCATGGTACTTGGACAGTTCATGGCTGAAATATAAAGTAAACTATATGTATAGTATGTATGCATAACATTAGATTATCTCTCTCTCTCTCTCTCTCTCTCTCTCTCTCTCTCTCTCTGAGATCACTAGGACTGCAGATGTCACGAGGGCTGAATATACATGTCACCAGGGTTAAATACAAATTTCACCAGAGCTGAATACAGATGCCACCAGTGTTGAGTACAGATCTCACCAGGGCTAAATACAGATCTCACCAGTGCTAAATACAGATGTCACCAGGGCTGAATACAGATCTCACCTGAGCTAAATAAAGATCTCACCAGTGCTAAATACAGATGTCACCAGTGCTGAATACACATGTCACCAGGGCTAAATACAGATCTCACCAGAGCTGAATACAGATGTCACCAGGGCTAAATAAAGATCTTACCAGTGTTAAATACTGATGTCACCAGGGCTGAAAACAGATCTCGTCTGAGCTAAATATAGATCTCGCCTGAGTTAAATACAGATCTCACCACAGCTGAATACAGATGTCACCACAGCTGAATACACACCTCACCAGGGCAAAATACAGATCTCACCACAGCTGAATACAGATGTCACCACAGCTGAATAGACACCTCACCAGGGCAAAATACAGATCTCACCACAGCTAAATACAGATCTCATGAAAGCTAAATACATATGTTACAAAAGCTGAATACACATGTCACCAGAGCTGAATACAGATCTCAACAGAGCTGCATACAGATGCCACCAGAGCTAAATACAGATCTCACTAGAGCTAAATACAGATCTCACCAGAGCTGAATTTCACATGTCACCAGACCTTAATACAGGTGTCATCAGAGCTGAATACAGATCTCACCAGAGCTGAATGCAGATCTCACCAGAGCTGAATGCAGATCCCACCAGAGCTAAATACAGATCTTATGAGAGCTAAATACACGTCACGAAAGCTGAATACACATGTCACAAAAGCTAAATACAGATCTCACCAGAGCTGAATACACGTCACCAGAGCTAAATACACATGTCACCAGAGCTGAATATACATGCCACCAGAGCTGACTATACATGTCACCAGAGCTGAATACACATGTCACAAGTGCTAAATACAGAGCTCACCAGGCTGCGTGCCAATCTCACCAGGACGGCATGTGGATCTCTCCACGGCTCTGAGGGCAGTGGCTATGCTGATCAGGCAGGTGCTGTCCTGAAATGTTGGGTGGAGAGTTGAATGAGTGGGTGCTGGTGTCCCGGCTCTATGTGTGTTGTGGGGCTGTCCATGGCTGTGGCTGCGGCGGGAAGGAAGAGGAGGAGATACAGAACCGGACAGGCACTGCCAAGGACAGCTATCTGCAGGTCCCCAGCAGGCTGCCTGAGGTCCTACAAGTGCGGGAACTCAGCCAGCCACTGCGGTTTAAAAAGCTAAAGGGCTGGTATCGGCCTTAAGAATCAGGGCATTTTCACAAGTACAAGTACTTGTGAAAATGCCCTGTATCAGCCCTGATACCGATACTAGTATCGGTATCGGGACATCCCTATACAAGAGCCATGGCATTCTTACTTGAATCTTGGTGTGCTTTGTGTTTTTCTTCCAGATATGTGCAGTTATCCAGTGTGAAACGACTCCTGCATTTTGCCCCTGTGCCACCCAGGTGACTGGTCTTGTATCCACCCCCTTCTATAGTATTCTGCAGGCACCCTGTAGGACCTGCCAGGTCTCTGCCACAGCTCTACAAAGACTATGTATGAAATTATGTCAATACTACTTTTACAAGGAATATCTGGGTTTGTAAAGGCACTTGATGCACACAAAGTGGATTAAGTGGATTTAAATCCTTTAAAGGGGTATATTTAAATGAAAGTTTTTGCGCCCAGAGTTCAACTTTATTGGTTCACCCTTGCATTTGCATTACTCATTAACATTATCCTTGATCAACAGATCTTATCATTTTGCTCATTATCATAACATTTAAAAAAACAAATAACACATGCAATTGGTTAGAATTACACCGATCTTAATGAACGTTTGTCATGCACATATCATTTACTCCTTAAATGTGCAAAATAAAAGCACACATTTCACTTAACGGATACAAAAAATACACATATACTTGATTTTAACTTTAAAAAAATAAGATGGAAATTTTCGTATGCAGTTCATTATGTAGAAAAAATATATATTTTATATATGTAAATATAAAATCATGTTTCCCTTTGATAATTCGATTTTCCATTTTTAAATATTTACAGTTGCAGTGACTGGATGACGTCATTGTATTTTCTGCAACCATGCAGGGATTGTGTACTTGTCATGATGTACTGAAGATGATTGCTAAGAGGATCATCTCCATGCCTTTCGATCCTTATGACACAAAAGTTGAATTCTCTACCGCCGTGATTTCAAGCGGTTTACAGTTTCTTAAAGCACCTATACTGCAAACTAAGCTGTACTGCAGGAAACACCCTTCCGTTAAATAAATGATTAAAACACAATCCAAACAGATTTTAGGAGCCAGCAGTCACAAGGGGGAGGACCAAAACAGTCAAACATTACAAAGTATGGTTGCCGCACGGGTAGATCCCACTAACCATCAGTGGAGCCTTCACAAACACCATGCATCAAACACTCTAACAATCCTGATCTCCTAGCTAAGAGAGCTCAATGCTTTTACAGTGCAAAAAATTTTTAAAGATTTTAGAACACTGAAAAGAAAAAAAAAGCTACATAGAAGCAATGGACAGATGCTCACTTATTTAATTCTTATATGACATTTATATAGGAAACAGTCAAATAAACCCTGGCACCCTTAATTGGACCTAGTAGAGTATATCGAGAAAATCACTGTAATAATAATAAAAGTGCAGAAACAAAATACTTGCATGAAATCAAATAAAAATAGCCAACAGTCTCATATACTGTGTTTCCTAATTTTACACAGTTGTATTAGATACTGTAGGGCAAGGGCGCCCACAATTTTTCGTCTGGAGATCTACTTTTCAAATGACGAGCTCAGTGAGATCGACCAACGAAAAAACACCTGCATTCAGGGGCGGGGCGGTATAGTGAAGTCAATGGCACCGCAGCCACGCCCCCCACCCGCAGTGCAATCACTCGCACCCGGAACGCAGGCACATTAGTTCCGGTCCAGTGTGACCTGCAAAAATGCTGCAAGCATTATTTTTGCAGATTGCACTGGACTTGAACGCAGGCACTAATGTGGCCGGCTTGCGTTCCAGTGCATTCTAGAGGCCAAACACTCTGAAACGCAGACTTTGTGGTGTGAACCGGCCCTCTCTCTTGGCTGTCTCTTCTCTCTCTCCTCGCTCTCTCCGCTGTTTCTATCTGCTGTCTCTCCTCTCTCTCTGCTGTCTCTCTCCTGTCTGTATTTTCTTACCTCCACTGCAGCAGCTTCCCGGGTCTCCTCTTGTGCGCCGGCGTCCTGTCCTCCCGCAGTGCTCGTGTAGCCTTATGTGGCCAACGTTGCATATGGGGAGAGGTGTCCCGCACCTTCCCGTCTGCGGCGTCTGACACATTCAGCCGGCAGCTGCACAAGCACCGTGGTAGGGCAGGACACAAGTTGTTGGCTATAAGCAAGTATGTTGTTCCTGTAGTACAGTGAGTAAGCGTTGCCATCCTAAGACAAGAAATGTGCTACTGGCAGGATCACCAGGTAGAATTAAAGGAAAACAAACTCGTCCCTATGTCTAAAGACTAGTAAGCTGTAATATTTTATATTTGTGTTTCTAGGTTTAGATAAACTAAAACACCATGGGGTTGATTTACTAACCTTATAAACACGCCACAAACAAGTATACACCTCTGTAGTGTGTTCCCTCCCAGCATGATCTATTGGTGGAATCTAGACACCTTTGTAGTGTGTACACACCCAGCAGGTGTGTTGTGCAAAGCCCTGCATGAATTGCAAGGTGATGTTGTGTAAATTAGCTCTACATTGTGTTGCTTGCGTTGATGAATGCAGGAATGTAAATGCATGAGCTAACCATTTTTGTCTAAACTGTGAAGCAGCATTATATATGCATCATGTGCATGATTTTTCCATATATGGCATTAGTGGAAATATGCTTTTAGAGACTTTTTGGTTGATAAATACATTTTGCTGTGTAAAAATCACACGCACCTAGTGCGTGCGTGTGTTTAGGTTAGTAAATCACCCCCCATATCTCTATATGTAGAGAGATTAAGGGATAAACTGGAAATAATTATCCTTCTCCTGGAACTTTTGCAAAGAGTTTCATTCAGCATGTTGGTCACCTGACCAATACCAAAAGTACTGGCCATTTGGTGTGTGTCACAGGAGCTTGAAAGAGAGTCATTTTCAGTCAGAGCTGGTCAGTTAGCGGCTCTGCCTGAACGCTGACTGAGTCTCCTTTGCAGCATAGCAGTTATTACATGACCAGCATCAGTAGGGAAAATAAATAAAGAAAAGCCCAGTATGACCTGCATACTAAGTGTGATAGATGCAACATAAAATACATTATTATTTGCAATTAAATATTTTGTATAATTTTGTTAACATAAGTTTATAAACTTGCAAAATTCACAAACAAACTTAAAATAAAACAGACTAAAAACATTGTCATGTCTAAAGGGTAGCTGATTTTTCGCTAAAAATAGCTGATTTGGAAAAATTCCCGAATTCAGCTCACTTTCCAGTTCAGTTATGTTGTCCTAGATTGTTCACTTCTCCGGCCTTCTCCTTTAGTAAAGAGCCCTGTGTATTTCCTATTTCTGGGCTGGCATTAGTTGGACAATCTATAACTTCCGTTGAAAGGGCCAAGATCCTTTGAAAGTTGTTGGGTGTCATAAGAGTGGACCTTTTTCAGATTCTGGGCCATGTTCTGTAGCTTTCAGATACTTATAACCTATATGGATATTTTTCCATTGGGGTGATTCACGCTGAGCTGAAATACAAGCAGTAACACAGCCATGCTATCTGACTCAAGGGTGTCCTATAAAAAGAAGGCTTATATTGTCCTAGTGCAGACAGATCGCATCAGGTGTCATTATCTTATCAGTCATGTAGAGCTTACACTTCTCACAGGGTGAAAAAGGGAAACCTCCACTTAATATAGGTGACTCCACTTAAAACATGCTGAGACTTAGTGTGGCTGAACAGAATGTTGGATACTATTTGCGTCATATGAAGCGATGGAAAATCCAACAGACACTGCACTGTAATGAAGAATCTTTGGGGAGATCCCTTTCATTCTGTGTTTTAGGATAATTCAGGGCTTTTGGAGAAAAGGCTCTTTTCCAAAACACATTCTAGACAACAGAGTAAAAGTTGAACTCTGGCGAGAAAGAACTTAAGAAAATGCCAACCCACTAGTAAGTGTATAGAATTGTTTTTATTAGACGTAGTAATCAACAAAGGAAGGCCAACACTGCCGAACAACTATCTTATATGAATATCAGAAATTTCCTTTCACTGATAGCTTTAGAACTATCATTTCTCAGCACTGATGATGTTGGCTTTCCATTGTTGACTAGTACGTCTAATAAAGGCTATTTTGGACATCAGCTAGTTGGTTGACACGTTCGTTATATTTTATCTTTGATTATTTTTACAAGGACCCCCTCTAAGGCCTCTGTATCGTTGGGGGCTGTTAACAAAAAAATTAAACTCAAGAACAAATAGTAGGATACATCCCCATTAAATCAGCGCTTATCCTTATACTATAACACTTGTACAAGAAAAGTCAGCAATTGCTTTAGGAGCCCATATATATTTACTTGGCTGCTCTTAAAGGGCCAACAGCAACTAATGGAAAACCTGTGCTATCTTATCTTTTTTGTGCATAACCTGTATCCCTGAACTCTCTCTTCCATGAATTTATTCAGCAACACATTTATGAAAAAGAATAAAGTGACTGGCACACAATTTTTGTTTTACCCCGCCATTAGCCAAAGATTCTGAACGGAGAGTTAAATGTTAGCCTACCACACCATTTTGGGGGTTAGCCTACACCATCCTGAGCGGAGGAGTGCTACAAAGATTTATCTTGGAGGGATGGCATTACATTCTGTCTGCAATGCCCACCTCCTATACTGATTAAGCAGTACCCCTTTCGCATATGACTGCTGTTAAAAGATTAGGCTGCGGAAAATTTTACACTTTGCTGTCACTTATGATTAATGTTCTGAAATGCAAAATGACAGTTTTTTCTGTCACACTTTTTTTTCTTTCTTGACTGAGAGTTGATGGATAGAAAATGAGCTGGAGCAAAAGCTAGAGTCAGGGCTTGTTCACACCAGTTACAGTGCGTTCCAGAGTGGTCAATGCCTGCGTACCGGTCCAGTGCGATCGCAAAAAATGCGATACAGTGCGTTCCAGCAGCTAACCGCTCTGAAACACACTGTAACTGGTGTGAACAAGCCCTCATAACTGACACAAGCTGTTTTACAGTCCTGGTTGGCCTGTAACATGAAGTGAGTCACTTGCACCATACCCAGGGCTAGATTTCCCACAAGGCCAACCAAGGCCCGACCTCTGGGCAGCAGGGAGTAGAGGGACAGCAGGGGTGTGCAATTCCTATCTCCCGACGCCCAGGACATGCAGTTCCAGATGCCGGGTACGTAATTGTTTTCTACAATTATCCCTGCTTTGGGCAAGTAAGGCTAAATGTAGAGCGGGGAAGCAGACGCTTGTTTTGTACAAGTGATCTCGGCGATGTTGCCGAGATCACTTGTATGCAGCCTGTATACAGGGGGGCGCATTGAGGAACCTGGTATTGGGGCAGCAGAGAGAGTAAATCCGGCCCTGACCATACCCAGAAATGTTGGGTGTTTTATTCAGCTCATTCATCCCTGATAGGTTCTCGGTGTCTCTATTTTGTTTTCTTCAGCTCCCAGTGCTGATTGGAGCAGTGGGAGAGTGAAAGAAAGCAAGTATATGCAGTTGGGGATAGGAAATAAACCAAACCAGTGCTTTGCACATATCTTACAATATATACAGGTATGTCTTTTAAAGAATGTGCTTCTAATTTACATATGTTTTTTTCTGCAGATAAGTTAGACTTGCGTGCATTTTAAATTACAGTGATTGAGTTACCACCAGTGAATATTTGGTGAAAGTTACATCCACTGCTTTATAAATAGACCTTAAATTGTACTTACGGCAAAGGTCCACCGTTCTCCAGTCTATGCACACTCCATGAATTCGGCAAAAGTGGCTGTATCCGGCTATGATCTCGCAGATGTCTTGCCCGTGGCAGCTGCTCTCCTCGCACAGTGAGAAGTAGGTGCTGGGCTGGATCTTGGAGTGGCAAGCCTCAAATGTTTTGGAAAGCAGGATGTTGCACTGAGTGCTGGGACGTTGGGTGCAAACATCATCCAGTTTGGTTTCACATATTTTATCCAAATGGTTGGGCAAGGTCCACTCCTTTATAAAAAAGCTGCTGTCTCTAGTAACTGAGCCATCCCTCAGTGTGAAGTCATTAACTGGATTGTGGTCACATATACCTGTGCAAGGAAAATTACATTTTCTATAAGAAGCTTCAGCCAGAAGAAGAGTATAACATTACAGTAAATCTGTCATAGATTCTAAACAAACTAAAAGAACAACATAGCATGTACCTTGTTTTCCTTATGGGTTCCTTTATGACACTAAGGGGGTTATTCACAAAGCTGCCAAAGGCAACAGAGTGAATAACCCAGCCGAAGTGAAGTGAGCCGAACTATGTTCGGCTATTCACTCCGGCTCAGTACGGCTGATTTCAGCCATACAGTGGATGAAATCAGCCAAACATTGGCTGCCTTTGGCTGCACTTCGGTCAGCAGAACATGCTCTGCATGCTAACTGCATTGAGAGAGACACCAGTTGGGGGACTGTGGAGATTCTTGATTAAAAATGTCATTTTACACATGGTGCATCATCACGCAGACTGGGCTTACAGTATTAAAGGACTCAGTGGCACCCATTAGAATTCTCACCCCAAGAAGAAAAAGAGGAACATCTTGTGAAAGTACCTAAAAGGCCAGACGAATTTAAGAAAAAGGAAAGTATAGGGTTTTGTTTTACTACTGGGAGGTGGGGAGGCAGCTAGGGCAGGGGATGAAATTCCTGGAGTTCTGCATTATTTGTTAGGGACACTTTGAAACACAGATAGTTAGTGGGAAAGGAATACCTACCACAAAGTCCTGATGTACTTGAAGAGAACACATGGGGATTAAGCTGCAGTATAAACTCATTGATTGATGGCGTAAATGTAAACACAAATCCCACTTTGGGAATCTTGACTTCGTGCATGACAGCTCCATACACATCAACTTCAAATATACTGCTGTGATATGGCACGGTGACTGATCTTCCATTGACAGATACCTTAAAAAAACAAGTGTTGAAATTTTTAGTTAGAGGTCATAAAAATGACTGGCTTTCACAAATGACTTATGCCACATTATTTAACCTAAAACAGTGATTAGGAAAATTGCTTCTGAAAAATCTATGTTCATAGTAAGAATCGCTAAAACTAGTCATTACCTCTACTACACTTAAAGTGATATTAATGTCAAAAAGTTTTTAAGCTAAATCAAATGCTGACGAAATCACTCACAATGGATGCTGCTTCTTATTTTTTTAAAGTTTTAGTTTCCTGCAGAATTAGCTGGTCTCCTCAGCACTGACCCTAATATCATGTTTTAGAGTGACTTCTTTCTGAAGCAGAGTGCTATGCAGTCACTCTTGTGTGTGTTAGTAAGCTGTGAAGCAAATCAAGATACTTCCTTCCACCCTGGCCCCCTCTCCTCCCTCCTCTCCAAGCTAGTAGATGAACAGTTGCTGGAGTCTGCTCTGTCCTTTGTGATCTTGAATTGGGAAGCTGAGCTGAGAGACTTGGAAGCAGCTTTTCAGAAACATGCAATGCATGCTTTGCCGGGCAATATTTATTTGTTTGATCTGGATTCATTATTAAAAAAAGGTTTGAGTGTTTAATATTACTTTCAAAGTTCATTAAGTGGAAATGACCAGGGGGGTTAAATAAAGCTCCCTTCCAACCTTACCGTGCAATAAAGTGTGCCACGCTATGGCAGCCTGTTTAGGTTGAATGAACTGGCAATAAATCTTAATGCACAAAAAAAATCAGATGTGCACCCTTTTTTCTAAGTCAGCACGTTGCAACATAGTGTTAATATGGTGTGTTAATGTGAGTTGCATTAAAGTGTATTTCCACTTTTGCAGCCATTTGTATCTATTAGATGTTCTATTACAAAGCATATTGGAGGAGGAGAGATGATATCACATCCCCGCCCTCTGTCTCCTCCTCCAATCACATAATGTGTATAGCTGGGCAGAACATATAAAAATCAGCCCTATAATAACTGGAATTGGGACTTTTTTAAACTGTCGTACAGGAGACTTCATTAGTACTATAGTAAGTATGGGGAATCCCTTGTTAGACAGTTGTCACTGGAACAGGTGTCCCTATAACAAGGATTCCCTCTGTTCCTGTTCTGGTGATATCTCTATAATTTTTGGATTTCCCATCACTTTCTGTCTTTTAGTCAGTGATCACCAGGACAAATAGAAAGGATTTACCTCCAAATCAGGGACAGCAAGAAAAACCTGACAAAGGTTCTATTCCTTCAAATGCTAAAAAAATAAATAGTTTGTACGCACACTTTAAATCAATATTACCACCAACAGCACACCTAGACATTTATAAAAATTTATCACAAAAAAAACATGAACATGAATGTATATTCACTTGTAGAAACTGGCAATAATCCATTTAATCTCAGTCGCAGTTAAGGCAATATTTTCCTTAGCGCTTTCTAAGACATTATTTTCTGGCTGTTTGGGATATTTTCTGCAGTGCATCATCATTAGGCAGAGATTACTCACTTGCTGCAGTCACCCTGCCAGAGGTCGCTGGGAAGTCATCAAGTTCTGCATGATGTTATATTGGGTGCTGTGTGTTGAGCAGCAGCCCCTCTAAGATTCTTTATTATGTAACAAGATAACGTTACATGTCCCGGACTCAATAAAAGCCTGCAAACTGGAGCTTTCCGACTATGGCCTGTGAGTTATTACTAAATCCAAACTTAGTTCACTTAAAGGAAAACTCTACTTTTGATTTAAAAAAAATAATATTGCATATAAAACTGCAACATAAGCCACTTTGCAATTTATTGTTATTAAAAAAGTACCTTTCCATTTCAATCAGCAGCCGCTGTAATTTTCTAAAACTGGCAAAAGAAGTAAAAAGGAACCTGGAGGCGTTCTGGGTGTACAGAATGCCCCCCAGAAATGTCATTTCCTGCTATTGTGAATGGCTCACATGTTTTCCCAGAAGTCTGCACTTAGGGCCGGTGCACACCTAGGCGATTTATCACACGGTTTGAGTCACGCGATATCGCGCAAAACACAGATTCACATTGAAGTTAATAGAGGCTGTTCACACCTTTGCGGTTTGTCACGCGACCGAAATCGCCTGTCACGCGAAAAGGTGCAGGAGCTATTTTCGTATGGTTGTCGTGTGGTTTGGGTCCCATAGACAGCTCTATGCATTGACAACCGCGCGATTTACAATGAACATAATAAATGTGAAGAAGTCACTCGCACTCCTGCTCAAGTTCAGACAATATTTTACTGACTTCTGTGGTGTCACAACATAGCGACGTTTCGGAGCCTGCTTGGTCCTTTCATCAGGCAAATGTTTGCTTGGCACCCACCCGATACTCAAGGGTAATATCCGGTCAGGTGTGCAATGGGTTCCTTTTGATTATTGAACTGTGTTTACAATAAACACGCGATCAAAAATGTGCGGCAACCATGCGAAAACAGCTCAGCATCTGAATCGCCTAGGTGTGAACCTAGCCTAAGATACAAGTAAAATTTGAATCATCCCTTAAAACAGGAAATTCATTTTGATTAGATCCTCTCTAAAGGTGCCCATACACCTGCCGATGATCGTACAATATTCGCGGGTGATCCCGCGATCGTACAATAATCGGCAGGTGTATGGGCAGTGTCCGACCGCTTCTACTGTAATGTCACACTACTTTCGTCTTCCGAGCACGCTGGAAAACCTGCCAAAAATCGTATGATTTTCGGCGGGTTGGTGGCATGCTTGGACGGGCCGGTGTGCGCAAGCGCACTCTGCCGACTCAGCACTGCAATCATCGGAAACCCTCCCCTCAGCGAGGGGCTTGCGATGATCGCAAGTATGATCTGCCTGACCAAGATGGGCAGATCGTACGAAATTTGAATCACCTTACAACCATCGCACAACGAAAGTCGTGTGATGGTTGTAAGGTGTATGGGCAGCTTAAGGCTTGTCTACTAAAGGGAGGCAGACACTGCAGCTGTCCTCATTAGTACACTGAGATTTGCTCAGGTGGTTGTAATGAGTGCAGACCCTCCCACTTAGGAATCAGTCTGGCAAGGACATGAAACAAATTCCTCCAGAAAAGAAATAGGTAGGAATGTGCAGCTGAGTTTGTTAAAATCCTTGCAATGTGCATAGATCACCCTAAAGGGATTGTTTTGTTCCCTCAACTTTGAAATTGCAAGTTAAAAATAGTGCATACTGTACATGCATACTTGCAGATCTATGTTTGTGCTTTATCCATATTTTATATTATCCATGTGCCATCTTGCAGTGTATCCACCTCTATGATTAAACCCAGGTGGTGAAATGAGTGAGCGGCGTGGATTGGGAGAGATACTATGGTGGTGTATACCTTGTATTTTGAACTTTGCATGGAATTTAAAACAAAAGTTGGATTTTTATGGACCTTGGTTTGGTGCGGCTGATTGGAGAGATATTATCTTGCAGTGTATGTTCCATCAATTCCACAGCATTAGTGGGAGATGATGAAGTCTGTGCTGAGGAAGTGACATAATCATTGCTTCTCAGGACGTTTTGTGTAGAAATTAATTTCAGAATTTGCCAGGCCTGTAATAAGGCAGATTTATCCCCACCCTAACCTTTTCTCTCTCCTGCCCTTTCATCGCCCACTTATTACTTGTTTTACTAAAAGCTGCTGTCCATCAAAGGCAGAACGCATGGTGGGAATGGGAGTAATATTTATATTTGTATCCATTGAGTCCTAAGATTTACACAGCCATGCAACACAGCACAGTCTCAGATTGGACAGTGAAAGCAGATGCAGCACACTGATGAGCTCATCTCTCTGGCTGCTTCTCGCTGCCTCTGAGCTTTGCTGTACAGTGATTGCAACTGATACCAGGAAATTTTATGTTTTGTTGGTTTCATTTTAGTTTGCTGTCCTGGAAATTTCACTATTACTATACCTGCATGTTGTTTGAGATTGTGACTGTATCCTGATTGTGCTTCACTTGCACAGAATTCATGCAGGTCTGATGGCTCAGTGAACTGCATTCGCCGTTCTGTAGAATGACTTCCACATTGTTTGTTTTGTCATCAAACAACACATAGGAACAATCGCTGATGAGTTTAAAGTTTAGACCGTCAAAGGTTACAATGTGTCTATTGGAGCTTCCCTTGCAGGTACCTAGAAATAGAAATGAACAAAAACAGAGGTAAACCTAAAATCCAGCCCCAGATTTAAAGTAAACTAAAGGGTCCTGTATGACTGTATAAACAAGTCTTGAATCTAGGTTCAACGCGATGCACTATTCTCATGAAGTAAACAAAAAACTTCCTTTACCTTCCCTGGCGGAGCCAAATCCTCCTTCATTTGTGCCTCACACACTCCCCCTCGCAGACACTGCAGATCACAGTAGGAGAGTTTCAGCAACAGAGGCAGTGCTGATTCCTAGCCTAAAATGGTGGGATTGGGGTCTCTACTTTAGTAAGTGCTGGAGGATTCCACCGCCCCTACTTGCGTTGTTTACCATCTTGGCTTTATTGGAGATTTCAAGACCTCTGGGAGCATTTGAGGGGTTGCATCCTTGTCCAGAATGTATAGATTTGAAAGGCATTAGGGTAGGTTATGATGGCTAAATGCTCAGAGCTCCTGTATGTAATGTTGTTATGATGGCACATTCATGCTGCTTTACTAACTCAATAAAGCTTTGGCACTGCATGTTCCAGCATGATAATTTTCAGATCCTTCATTGGGCAAGGCCCTCTTTGAATGGCTCAAATACATTCTTACCCAATGGTTCTTTAAAAAAAATCTTTTGCAAAAGTTACTAAATTGTGTGTTTTTGCTTTGGGTTTTCTTTTTAGCAGTTTAGTATAACTACCCTTTACAAGTGAATAAATGGTACTCATTGTCTTTTCATGACGTCCTGCACAGAGCCATTAAATGTATAGACAGTCCACTTTAATAAAGAGGCAGCATTACTGGAATCCATTGGCCTTGCTGGCACAATACATTATGATTACAGAACAGTAGAATCAGCAGAATGTATGTAAGAATGTCTGAGTTATTGACATCCTTGATGACATCGAGCATAGCACTGCAGATGGTGCCAAGAATTTTGAATAACTCTTTTGTCTAAGTGAAGTTTGCAATATTTCACAATATGGGCTTTTTGGCCTTGGTGGTGCCAGTATTTGATTCAGAATGGCGTGAATGAGCTTCTAGGAAATTAGGTTAGCAATGGGTTTATTGGGGGAAGGGGGCAAAAAATTAAGTTATATAAGCCAAGGACTGTTGCAGTGGAAAAAGAGCAGTATCCTTCCTAAAGTTTCACCTGAGTAAGGAATATTTTATTTATCATTTGCATGGTAAAGCCACACCCTTACCAATGATATACCACCCCATATTCACACAAAATGCAAAGAACACAGAAAGCTTAATGATTTTGCTGCTTATACAGACAAAAATGAAGAACACCAAATAATACATGCTTGGCTTGACTCATTTGCTTCTTAGTATGATCAATGGTTGTCATCAAGCATACAGGCACCACTGTGTTTGCTAGGCAGAAAGCACAGCATGCATGTATAACATGCAGTTATGGCTGCTGCTTAGGGTTAGGCAGGTGCTGCAATCATTGCTGGTGCCCTCAGCCTATACAGTGAAATAGAAATTAATACTTACATGGACACACCCAGCGGCAGCCACACGTCTCCTCAACTTTAATGGCAGGCAAGTTATTGTCACATACTGGCTTCGGGATCTTCATGCAGTTCACTCTGTGACTTTCTAGAGTGGTTATGCCATCTGGCAGACACCTGGCAGTATAACATTGGTCTGAAAGGGTCCAACTGTCTCCAGCCTAGAAGGGAAAGAACATATTTAATGAGCCGTCTGATGTGCCTTCAAAACAAAGGTTGCAGATGAAAATTTTAAAGGTAAATTTAGGCTTGGCCAGTAAAATTAAAATGGTTCCCTTCCTGCCCCAGCATGTGCATATAATGGTTGTTTTGTCTAGGGAGAGCCTAATAGAGCAGAATACTTACCCCAGAATGTGTAAGACATCATGCACATGGTCCTGCATTGTATGTGATGACATCAGTGGGAGGGACAGTGACGGAAAGAAAAGCAACTTTGGGGAACTAAATGACAGCTGTAAAATTTAGGATTTCCTATCAGATGCTGTCTTCCTGATACTGCAATGTTCACTAGGTAAAATAGGCAGGGTGAAACTAACCTATCTTTCCTCAAGGTGGAGAATCTGTCTTTTCCAAGACTAGCTGTCTCCTCAATGCACCTTTATCTCATTCTAACAGCTACAATGCTCACACAATATATCCTTGGGCCACTTCCTTCTACAGTATATGAACAGAACAGACACTTCATATTGTCACATTTACCTATATCACTACAGGGGGAGCCCTACCTTTTATTCTCACGACTGCTTTTCTCCCTGACGAAGAAGCTCTCTTTATCTGATATTCATCATACTCTCAGGAAACATAGTTACTTCCCCACATCTAATACAGCCATTAGCATAATTAAATAGGCCCAACTGTTACATCAGTCCCCAGATGAAGAGCATACTAACATACAACCAGGATCTGGAAATACTTCTGGAAAATAAATGTAAATAAAGTTGGGGAGGCTCTAAAAATTGCTACGACAACAAATATGATGTCACTAGAAGGGTTGCCCCTCAATGCTTTTGGGGCCCTATCATGTAATGTAAAAATCCTTGTACCCATCAACAGTGCCAGACTCGTAAATACTATCACAGTTCCTAAATATTAAATATATAAGATGACACTGCTAGTATTTAAAAAATCCTTAATCACAATATAACATCAGAATCCTGTGCTAAGGAAAAAATATAGGATACAATATTGCTAAACATGGTAGTTGCCTGGCTGTAGATGCAGATCCAAAGCTTCTGTATTGACCAGAATGAAGTATGCAGATCATACATGTGATTTCACTGTGACCATGTCAGTCACTCAATAAGGTAGCATTTTCAGAAGGAGTTCAGTGATGGCAGTTTACATGTTTCTCTCAGTACAGGTTTTTTTAAAACAAAAACACATTGTGATCGTAAAACATTGAATACCTTTCTCTGATTTCCATCCTCATCAACACACACTCTGATAAAGTCTGAAATGGAATAAAAATAATAATTAGACCTAAAGATAAAATGTTTGAATTTCAAACCATATTTCAGCAGTGGCGTGATAAGAAGCTCACTTCCCACCCGTAATTCTTTATTTACTATATTTGCTATATTTTTACTGATGGCTACTTATTGGCTTCATTCTTCCTACCTCTCACTTGCTTATGCTTTGACATCCTGACCTGGGGTGATGCAGGTTCTAGGCGAGAGGTCTAAGTATCAAAGGCAGCAGGCAGACAAGAGCAGAAACACGATAAGTGTAAAAACATGCAAATGCAAACAGACCAGAGTCAAAAAGAAATTGTTGATCAGGCACTGGTTTGGATTTCTTACCTCACTTTACAGGTCAGAGCCGTAGCTAGCTCCTTTTGCGCTCGAGGCAAGAACAGAAAATTGTGCCCTCCAACAGACTTGTGTGGTATGTGATGTCATGCGCCTCGCCTCCAGGATAGCAGCGCGCATGCACAGAATGCGCTGATGGCCAAATCCAAAATAGCATAAAAATGTGTTTTGTTTAACGAAACTAATGAAAACATTTTCAGTTTCCGTTCATTTAGTCCGAAACAGATTTTTAGTCTTTGCACATGTCTAGTAATATGTTTGCATGAGTGTGTGTGTGTGTG